AACTTTTGCTTAAGACCAAAACAAAGTAAGATTTTCAGTCCCAAAAACAAAGAAGAATTGTCTATTCTATTTTTTCTGTTGAAAAAGACGCAGATTCAAGTTGACAACTTTCAGACTTCTATTTGTACTAGTATGAAGCTTGCGAGTACGATATTTTTAAAAAATATGTTTACGTTCCGAGAAACAAGCTTTATTTGTGCACTAACACTGTTTTCTAATGGGAAAACATGTAACTAATTAGCCTTTAGAGGATATGACATTTCAGTTTTCATTCATCAAAGGTTTTTCATTAAGAATCATTAAATTTGCTCATTAGGGATAAGTACCTTTAATAGACAAAATAAACAGTGATGTATTTACAAAATACACTATCCGTGTTTGCTATCCGGAATTTCATTTTAAAATTTCTTTATGTTGGGGAGTAATAGTAAGCTGTCCCTTCCCCCGCATAACTTTAAACAGTTTGTCTCCTTGTCTTTACATGCTAAAAGCTGTGATTAAGAGCAATGCGTGCACTCTAAAAATTCTCGTGTTTTTCTGCTTTGCGTGCTGTAACCATGTTGTTAATTTCTATTATTATTTTTCATGCGTAAAATTTCTTGTAAGAAACGTCCATCAAGCACATGAGGTTCTGCGGTAAAATTGATACCTATAGAAATTTAAAAAGTTGATAATGTTTAGAAATTTATGTGATAAATAGGCAATTTTTATATTAAATGACAGGGGACATTTTTTGCTTAACTTTTTGAAATTGCAAATTTTTATTAAATTATAAAGTTGTAAGTTCCATATTCTGAAATAAAAAAGTCTCTAAATACCATGTAAATTATTATTTGTAACTACTTTCACAAATTATTATGGAAATGTATTTACAGACGAAAATGTTAAAGATCTTTTCTTTCTCGATATATCATCGTAAGTAGATTGCGGAACTAGAGTTCTTTGACTTCAATCAGGGTCATCGAAAAGGCCTATAAACTTTTTATTCATATATTCCTACGATACTCGGATTCTGTCAATTCCGATATAAATTAACTATCCACAAAGAAGAACTAGAAATACCAATGAAAATATTGACATCTACTATTAAGTACATTTTTAAGCATCGATCTCTTTGTAAATAGGAGTGTGTTAATATTGTGTGATATTACAATCAATTTAGAGCACGTTGTACCCATAGATTTCTGCGATGATTTCTGGATGTAATCCGTAAAAAATACAGTTACTGCGTCATTTTACTTAAATAGTCACCTAAATACAGCTTAATTAATATTATTTTTTATAAACACAAACCACTATATCGTTCGTTCTATCGCGGATATCTTGCAATTGGTAATAATATTTCCTCCCTTTTTTCTCTCTTTGCTTACATTCTTTACCAAGATAAGATGGATAGAGCGGTAATCGCACTGATTCGACTCAGATTCTCAAAATACTATAAATATCACATCCCATATCCAGAGCCAACTGTACCACCACCCTCCAGGCACTAGTTGCTTTTGCTTATATAGTGTGTTCGGTTGACCGTCACTTCTATCCATGAGAAAATGAACGCAGAAATGCTCTTGCTCATAGATCACTTGTCGAATACAAAATCGCAAATGTGAGTACAACAATTATTTCTATTTGTTCTCGAAATTATCTAAACATTTAAAAAATCGTAAGTAGTTGTCCAATTTCAGTAATAATAAATATTTTTTGTTTATTTTTCATTCATTATGGGAATATAAATAGGATAGTGCTCTTCAACAGGAATAAAACGGAAATATCTTAGAAATATACATTTTTTATATATTTTTGTGAAGGGATTACTTTAATTTAATTCAGCAATTTATTTCTTATCTTAATTTGAAATTTTATTTTACATGTATAACGTTACTAGGCAAAGAATTAGGAATATTGGCAGTGGCATACTGATAGAGTGTATCTTTATATCTACATAATTTTTTAGTACATTTTTTACACCCATTTGTTTATTTGCGCGCTTAGGCATTTGTACACATAAGTAATTTAATATTTGATAGACAGTATATGGTTTTAATTGGTATTTTAGAAGTATTTATTACTTTTACAGGGTTTTGCGGACGAAAAATCATCTAATTTGGTTTCCTTTCCTTCAATTTATCGGAAAGACCGTAGCGACCTCTAGCGGGGGACACAGAATTGCTACATTTATAGAATCCCGCTTAAAAAATAGGTGCAGGAATCTCCAACAGTTACGTCACCTATCAGTATGCCAATAGACATTTAGTGATTTTCTTTTCGCTTAGTGACGTCATACATATGCAATACAATTTAAAAAAAAATTAAAATACTACCGATTTAAATTAACCAGTCTTTTCATAAAAAATATTAAATAAATTGTATTTCCAGGAGATAATAATTCCATTTTCTTTGTAATTGAAGGAAACTACTCCATTTCTAAATTAATTATATTTTATATCTGGCAAATTTTACACGAATCATCCCTTGGAAAATAATCACGTATATAAAAAAGTGCTCCAATTTTTGTAACTCTGTCCTTAAAAGTTGCCAAGAAAGACCAGTTTTTCCAAGAACGTCATCCCACACCTCTCGGCCGCGTCGCGTCTACGCCAATGACGATAACCCACATTACGGGCAGACTACAGAACTGTGGCGTCGCCTGCGTCGGAACGGGCGCCGTCTGGACAATACTCTTCTCCTGCCAAGAGCTTTCCTTGGAATTGGAGTCTGCTATGTGGAGATTTACGGCTAGAAAAACCTGGATAAAATCATGAATAGGATTTGTTTGTGAAGGGGATGTTGTTTTTAGTAAAATGGGAACGAATATGGAAGGACTTTCTATGTTATGATACGAGTCGTGAGGGACCGACGCTGATGATGACTCACTTGTTTATTATGGTCGTCTGCAATAGAACGCAACATCAAGAAACGTTTTAATAGCGAGCCGCATACATGTTTTTATTTTTGTATTTAATGGTTGTTGCATTAAACTTGTGGAGTATACAAAATGACTTTATTTGTATATATAACTTTGAACAACAACTTTACTTTGATACGAAACTGTCTCCTCTCCTGTCATATTTTTAGATGACTGAACACGACCATACAAAATAACCATTGATTATCCAAAAACAGAACTAACAGAAAATTTTATAATATTATAGTGGCTGCACCGCCATCTAGTAGTATTGTTAAAACTATAAAACAAACTACTTAACAATGGTGTCTTTTATAAGGCCGTACTTATCTTTCGAAAGTTGGACGCCAAATAGAATATATACCAGAAAACACAAAAATATATTTTCTAAAGAACGTACTAAAGATAATTACATTTTTCTATTCCCATGCTAATTGAATTATTAACCATTCATTAATTTTTCATTAATACAAATTAATAACCAATAGAAACGCAACGTCATAACAATATTCAATCAATATCAAATATAGCCTTGAGCATGACAGATCCAAAATTTGTCTGCAATAATTATTTAATTCTAACAACAATAACAATAACAATGTCAACAATGTCGTTTTCTACACACCAATGCTGTATATGGTTCCTTTTATTGTAGATTATTACAAATCATTAAAACTAGTTATGGATCATTCAATTACCCGCATACAATAATTTGCAACAACTGACGATTAAGAAATATGTTCAGCAAAGATAGTTAAATTGGTATCAATTAACCTACGAACAAATGCATGCTGTAAGGAGTTTGGTTATAAATGGAAAGGTAGATACGATTATACAATGCTATTTCAAAGACTTTCAGACTTCAGAGAAATTAGAAATGATCGATATTGGTCTGTAGTTCTCAACCGATGACTTGTCATAATGTTAAGTCACCCACAATGATAACATTACCTTTTTGTGAAAATTCCAACTGCTAAAGAGAATAAAAGAATGGGGGAATGTTCAAATTAATAACGATAAATGAAATATTATCAGTATAACACTTAAAAAATGAATAGGTATTGATAAAATATAGACGAAAAACTTCACATCCAAAACATTCGATTTTATACAGGGTGTCCCAGAATATATGGGCAATCTCTCAGATTTATATAGGGGATGTTAAAATAACATGACAAGTTCCTATAAAAATATTCCCTAGAGGGCCCCCCTTACCGATAGGTATGCCTACAGGCTCCTAAAGGACGCCACGGAAAATCGATTTTTTGTGTAATTTAATTATTTTTAGGAAAAAACAAATGTAAATAAAAGTGGCATTTTTTTTAAATAGGCACAGAAAGAATGCAAATTTCATCGGTTTATTTCTCTTTACGGATGTAATAAAAATAACATTTTTAGTTCAAGCTTCAAGTTATCTAAAAATATTATTTTTGTGCCTCTATCATAGAGGGCGTAAAAAAAATTGTACTACAGCTAGCAAACCAAATAAGACAAATTGTTTTAATGGGTCAATTTTTGAAGAAATCTTATTATTATCTATTGTCCATCATAAAAAATAATTAACTTACACAGAGTATTTTAAAAGTTAGTAAAAAAAAATCGATTTTCATAGGCGTCTTTTAGGGGTCTGTATATCTGTTGGGGGGCTCTCTAGAGAAAATTTTTATATTGTCTTATTTTACTGTCCCCTAATATAAATCCGAGAGATTGCCCACATATTCTGGTACACCCTGTAAAGTTTTTTACAGGAATTAAAACTACACCACTATTCGCTCTATTAATTACTTAAAATATGCGATTTTTGGTAAATGTAAAACAGGTTTGAATAATACAAAATACCTACGTCCTCCTATCCAGAAAATCTTTGTAAAACTATTTCAGAACAGGTATTACTCTGTCGACCAAATCTAACCGCTGTGACAACTGTTTTTCTGTTGTTATCGCAAGTGAAACTTCGACAACACTTTTAAACCCGCGTATGTTGTATGTACATCCCAAAGCTCACATGTTGGTGTTTTGTTCTAGGTTGGCCGCAGCGCAGGAGGCGGCGGCTCAGGCGGTGCAGCAGCAGCAGGCGGGGGCGGGCGCAGCTGATAGAATGGGGGGTGCGAGCGCGGCCGGACAAGGACAGGGGCCCTCCTCGCTGTTCCTCTTCTCCGAGGAAAACCCCATCCGCAGATATACGCGCTTCATCATCGAGTGGCCATATCCTTTTCATGCTTAATTTAAAAAACACAAGCTGTATAATATCGTGGACTCTTTCAAAAACGCATTCAGTAGTTATTAGTTGTAAAAGTATTCATAGACATAACCCTGGTGCCTTTTGATTAGATATGAGGGTCACATTATGGTTTCACGTCTTTCATATGTTCGTTCTGTAACTGTTCGTAGTCATGGCTGTAATAAATCAGTTGGTAGCGCTGGCAATGCATTTGCACTTCACACATAAAATTTCAAATTTGTTTGGTCTAGTGTTGTAGTGTAGTACTGTATTTTTTTAATGCAGTATTTTTTCTTTTCTGTAACCTTTTCAATAACTATGTCGAAATATTCTGTTGGGACATTTAAAATCAAATTAATAGATCCAGGTTGAAAGGTAACTCAAATTATATGTAATTCTTTTTCCATATCAAGCACACCTCAAATAATTTTGTAACAGAAAATAAGTCTTGGGAAATATTATTTATTAAAATACAAACACTTCATAAAGTTCATAGTTAGCTAAATGACTAAATTATGTTTTATAGAGGCGGCATGATCTAGCTTTTTAAAATCGGTGGCTTTGTGCATTTTTAAAGAAGTTATTGATTTATTCCTCTATACAAAAGGCTGCAAGTGCCCTTGCACCTTTTACGGCATATGTGATGATCAAGCATTAATAAATACGGATTAAACAGCTCTTTAACATTTTTTCAAGATCAAAGCATTGCCAGCGCTTTAAAAAATTGGTAGTCACGGTCATTGCAAAATATCACAGTTTTTATCTATAGGCAGATGGAATTTTAAACTGTTTATGAATTCCGATACCAATAATTAATGTAATGAATTTACTCGATATACCTATGATCTGTAGAACTACACTTTACTTATATTTTTCTTAACAATATGTTTACTCCGTTTGAATATGCCGTGCTTTCGACAATCATAGCAAACTGCATTGTACTGGCATTGGAGGAGCACCTGCCCAATTCCGACAAAACAATGTTAGCACAAAAATTAGTAAGTATTCACCCTCTTTTACTTTACTCACATTCTGATAATTATATATATCTGGTTGTCCCAGAATTCTTGGAAAAAATGAGTTTGTGCAATATTTGTTCCATAAGCTGGTAGTTCATTTTTATGGGGAGTGTTTATATGGTGGAGGTAGAAATGAAGCAATTTTGATTTTGCCTTAAAATGATTGTGGTAGGTATTTCTCAATACAGGAGCTTAATTATAAAGATTCCATCATTCGATTTTTTCCACATTTTGGGACATTAGATGCACATAATGTATGAAAAATATATTACTCTTAAATTTGTATTTGGGTACTGATTTTGTTTTGTTCTTTGTAGGAGAAGACAGAAGTTTATTTTCTAGGAATATTTTGCGTTGAAGCCTCACTAAAAATTTTAGCCTTAGGTTTCGTTTTACACAGAGGATCTTATTTGAGGAACATTTGGAACATTATGGATTTTTTTGTCGTACTAACTGGGTAAGGCGATTTCTTTCTTATAGAAACATATACATATATGTAAAGATTATATTTTACAGGATAATATTAAGACAAATTTAGTAATTGTTTTGAATTATATTGCTTAGTCTATAAAAATCTACCATAAATTATCCTGTGAAATACAAAGCCCAGTCGATCTTCATTAAATTTCAGGCTATATCCATCGACCAATGACCAATTTTAACTGTATTTTTTTTCTATTTTTCAATAATTTAAAAGGTCGATGACAGTTTTTGCTGAAGCGAATGTCGATGTAGATCTACGGATGCTCCGGTCTTTCCGCGTATTGCGGCCCCTCAAGTTGGTCTCCAGGATCCCAAGTAAGGGCCCAAGATGACCGTCTCACTTATTTTTACAACTACAAAACTCTCTAACTGTCTAGTTTTTTTAACCCGGCAGCTGATCGTGTAGAGCAGACTAGACTTAGTCTTAAAGATATTAGTTGTGGATATTTTTATAGTTTAGTCACTATTTGTGGTTATTACACAGTCGGTAGGATGAAACGGAGGACGTTTTTCGAAAGTACACTTTTTTAACAAGGTTTAAAGATATTAGGTATATACTTTCTTGTTTACAACTGCTAATAATTTAATATTTTAAAGTTGCTTTTATTCAAACAATATGTTTTTTAATTAAAAATATTTTTTGGCTTATACAATTTTTTAAAATGCTTATTATGCAATAAATAATTTTCTTCCTACAGAAATTTACTGATTTAAGTAATTGCTTCGAACATTTCTAAATCATGCAATATTTATCTAAATTATCGGATATATGTTGAACAGGGTGTATACCAATTTGGAATGGGGTTTTTACATAAAAAAAGTGTAGTGTATTCTTTAATAGTTCTTTAATAGTTTATATGAACCGGTTATATGTTTTTTTCTAAAATCATAAATAAAAACTCCCTATTTGATGTAAATGGTCATTGAAAAATGGAAACTTATATAGAGCTTATATCTTCAAAAAGCAGAACTTTTTAATTCAGACAATTTTTTGGTCAAAAATTAGTATACACCCTGTATCTAAGAGTATCAATTTTTAAGTAAATAAAAAAAGAGTAATTAGGGATGAATTTAAAAAATATATCCTTTTTACCAATCATTATGGAGCCGTTTATGCAACATACTGCTGCCGAGTGTGAAAAACGATTCTCTTTTTGTCCTACTGTTGTATAGGACACAATTTACATATTAAATGCAGTAAATGATCGTTGGTTGATTGGGACTTAATGGGTGTCGAAATGTTTTTTCAGTTTCAGCTATTTTCGATACTGATTGTGCCAAAATTATTATGGTATGCATGAGATGTTTCGTTTTATAGATAGACAGTGCTCGACAAATCACTTTTAAAATAGTTTTAGTCAGAATTTAGATAACGTTCATTTAATTTTAGTCAGTCCGTAATAGATAAGGTTAGCCATCAAAAGAATGTTGACCCGGAAGTATTAACTTCTTATGTGTAAATAATATAATATAAATGATGATAGATTTCATTTAGAATTTAATTATTAAATTATTCATAGTTATTATAAATTCAAATCTTGTTACAAATACATTTCGAATGCAAATCAACATAACTAAAAATGGGCCTCATTTCTAAAGTTGATAATTTTCACGATTTTTTTTATTGCCGATTTAATCCTCTGTAATGATGCAAGAATAGATAGAAAATTGTATTTGAAAATATACAAGGGTATAAGTTTTTTCATCAGAAATTTGAAATGCTGTGTAGAGAGTCAACTAAAATAGTAAATTTCTACTTAATCAAACCAAACTGTAGTACCAGAATTTCTTATTATATTGTTTTTTAATTCATGTAATTTTCTTTGTTATTATTTTAAATATACTAGTTAAATTGAGTAGTAGAGTACCTACTAAACTGAAAATGCCACAAATAAATAATTACAGGCGGTAGTCCGTAGATACTAATTATTCGTGACTACACAGTAATCACCGAAACATAGTTAACATTTTGAAAAACTTTCTGCTTCCGTTATCAAAAGTTTAGTTATAAACTTGACTTAAATTATATCCTTCGTAGAGATATAAGATATATAATATTTATTCTGTTATTACTTACCTCTTCATTGGGAATATTCAACCAGCAACTATAAAAATTTATGGAATTATTTGAAAATCACTGTTTAGCAAAATAAACTTGAACTCTTATTTTCGTTTCCCAAAATTTTTCTATTATATTGAATTTCATCAAAAGATAAATATTATCAAAAATGAAATATTGTTTTTAGAAAATATATCATTAATGTTATTAAATAATCAATATTTAGAAAGGTTTGTCGATAGAACCTTTTTATATTTATAGATTTTTTTATAGACTTTTATTTTTAGACTTTTTTTTGTTTATAGACTTTATATTTACAGACTTTTTTTCCAATTTTTTCCAATTTATAGACTTTGTATAATTAATAGACTTCCAATTTATAGACTTTTTTCCATCTTTGGTTATAATTTTACGATTTAGTTAATCTTAATCTTATACATAAACAATTTTGCAAATTACTTAATCAAACTGCTTATGATATCATTTTTAATTCACATTTCACCAGTAAATGAATTAGGTAGTGAATAAGAAATCTTGGTATAGGTGGCAACTCCATCAGCTAAATCTTCCCTATTCTACAATTTGGTATATTAAATCCATATGTATACATATCGCCACATATCCACATTTAAGGTAATATCGTGATATCCAAATAGTTACTTATAGGAATATGATGTTAGATTAGATATTACATTAGATTAAATGTTGTTAGATCCTGTGAACATAGAATGTATATTCAGATGTGAAATTTTCATACTAGTATGTCAATATAATCAATTACAATATACTCGTAATATAACGACAAAAAAATAAATAAATATAAAGACACTAAATTCCAGTTCCATTACAAGAATTGTACGATTTAAACAGTTACACAAAGCAAGTTTGAATAAAGAAAAAATAGAATTGGGCTTGAATGATCGATGAATAAACATATGTAATAAATATCTCCCTATAGAATTAATACCAACTTCTAATAATTTGAGGACACACTTATGTGGTGTCCCAAAATTAATGCAACAAAATTTGGTCACAGACTCTTAAGACAAATTTAGGGGACCCGTATTTTTTATTTTTGCTAAGTAGCTCTCTTTTTCGGAGTTACAACCCCCTGAAATTCGCCCCTACGAATATTTTTTTTATATCAGAACCCTGTTGTATGGGAATCACTAAATTTGGTACACAGGGGTTTTATGACGTGTGGAATCTGATAATGCTATGCTTTTTGGCGGGGAACCCCCTTAAAACACTTTTTCGTGGACTCCATATTAGTTTGCTAGAAAGCCATAGAGTTTAGAAATTTTTTTATCTTGATATTTTTTTCATAAAATGCAATGTTTTTCAGAAAAATGGCGAATCACGATATGCATTCGATCATATTTTGCCATTTTTCTCGAAAACATTGTGTTATACGAAAAAAGTATCAAGAGACATAAAAGTTTTTAAATTCAATAGCTTTCTAGCGAATTAATAATTTTTAAGAAATTTAAATATGCGACCAAAGTTTTGTGACTTCCCCGCCAAAAAGCGTAGCACTATTATGTTCCACATGTCACAAAACCTCTGTGTACCAAATTTAGTGATTCTCATACAACATGGTTCTGAGTTCTGAGATATAAAAAAAAGACTAATCTTGGGGCGGATTTCAGGGGGCTGTAACTCCGGAAGAGGCCACTTGGCAAAAATAAAAAATACGGGTCCCCTAAATTTGTTTTAAGAATCTGTAACCAAATTTTGTTGCATTAATTTTGGACACCCTGTAGATGTAAGTGTGGGTTAACGAGGTATATGTATCTCAATAATAACAGATGTAATGAAAAGGATCAAACAACATACCTATTGTTCATAAAAAGTGAGATTATAATGTGATTTAAGTAGACATTCACTGTTCTAACTTATACACTCTACAGAATATTTCAAATCTGAAATTTCAGTAAAAAAATTACTATCTTAGTATTGTAGCTTAGGCTTCATGAGATAATCTCCTTGAAATTGAAACTTATTTTTAGTGATGTGATTTGAATGAAGTGTATGTTAAAGAAAAATATAAACAATTTTGGAAAGAAATTATTATGAGTTCAAACTAAACACCCGTTTTTTCAGAGATCATCAACCATTGTTATATATGCTGTTATTTTTACTAGCACCACTCGCTTTCCTAAAAAACTGCAAAAAATCTCACATTTCAACATGGGGCACAATTATACTTTTGCTGCATCCATTATTCTTGAGTTCTTATGGCTTTTTATATATAATTCAAACCAATTTACGCTGAGTTTCACTTTTCATGGAGTTATCTTACTTGAAATTGTAACGTTTCCACACAAAATGTTTACCTGCAAAGCGATTATTCTGATATAACTAAATGCGCCTCGTTCTAAAATTAGTAAGTGTAAATGTTTTTACAAAAGTTATTTTAGCTATTTTTTTAATCTAAAACTTGATACTATATTCTAATTTAGCATCCTCATAATCGTCAATATACAGGGTGATTCAGATTTAATCTGGATAACTTCAGGAATCAATAGAACAGGTTAAAATAATGTTCATTCATGAAACAGCTGCACGCCACCTTTGCCTCATTAATTTTGAAGCTTTTTCATTTCTTGTTTTTTTCGATATTTGGCCTTGTTTCTGAAATATTCAATGAAATTCATGACAGTGTAGCGCCCGTAAATTGTATACAAGGTGAGATAATGTTCACTCATGATATAAACTTATTTCTTAAATCGCACCGTATTGGAAGTAGAGGGCGTTAAAGTAGGAATTTTTTTCCCGTTTTTCCCTCATATCTTTTAAACTTAATTATACTTTTAACAATGATTTTCACAAACGTCAGTTTATACAAATCACTGTGAGTTTTTCATGGGTTGCTATAACATTAAATGAAATTTACGCAGCTGGGGCGTTACCTCGGGTGCTACACTGTCACGAGTTTCATTAAATATCTCAGAAACAGGGCCACATATCAATGAGGCAAAGGTGGTGTGCAGCTGTTTTATTGAAATTAACTATTTTTTTTAAGTTTTAAACTAATGTAAGATGGGGTAGCACACAAAATACACTTCTAACAGGGGTAGGTGGTTCAAACTTAAGGAGCTTATGTAAGATCATAAAGAGTGTTTGTGTTCCGAATTTTACTTCAATCGGCCAAGTGGTTGAAAAGTTATGAGGGAAAAAACAGGAAAAAAATTCCTACTTCAACGCCCTCTATCTCTGAAACGGTGCGATTTAGGAAATAAGTTTATATCATGATTCATGAATGAACATTATTTTAAGCTGTTCTATTGATTCTTGAAGTTATTCAGATTAAACCTGAATCACCCTGTATATATTTTTTAAATAGTTCATTGATTGTTTTTTTATTTTAAAACATGACGTCTGTGACTAAAATCAAATTTAATTATATCAGAATAATTGCTCTGCAGGTAATTATTTCACACTAAAATATCAAAATGTTTCTATTTAAAATAACTGGCATAGGCTTCATGAAAAATGAGACATAGTGTAGGTATATCTTACCTGAAATGTGAACTGTTGCAAAAAAATCAATAATTACAATCACTTTATAATTACAGATAAATGCAAATTTTTATTAAAGAAGATATTCTTAAACAAATAAACGGTGTTAAAAATGTTTTTATGAATATAAATCAAGCCAAACTATAAAAAAAAATAAATTTTGTATTTCTTTTCTATTCTTAGTACACAAATCATATGTATAATAGATATTTGGATGTATTTGAATTAAACAGGCCTTGTTCAAAATTGGCATTCTTCGGTAGAAGACGAAACCTTTTTCGAGCATTGTCGTGGTGACGCACCACTACCTATAAACCAAAATGTATATTCGAATACCATAGATTTTCTGGCCTATGCCACACATCTCGGGACTGATGGCTGAAGTTATGTTTTTTATATTGATTTTGCTCTGTGGTTACCATTCTTATTTCAGGTCGCATATTAGATTAAAACATAGTGTTTTTTTAGAAACTTGACCATAGTTTTAGTTGGTACTTTTGAGTAGTGTTGGCTAGAGGCTAGATTTTTGCAGGTTTCTCACGTTGTTCCCTCAAGATTTCATTGCGGTGGACCTGCGAACCTTGCGGGCTATTCGAGTGCTAAGACCGCTGAAGCTAGTCTCTGGCATCCCTAGTAAGTAGATGATGTGTAGACGTAATTTAATACCCCTCAAATTTTCACTTTTTATTTCGATGCAACGAGACTATTGGCACTCAATGATGACCCGAAAACAGAATATCTGATGTACCTCATGCTATTTATCTTTCTTAATTTCTTATACCTTTATTTGATATAAAACCGAGCCTGTGTAAATACCCTCATATTTCTCCTATTCATAAACCAGTTTTATTTTAATTTTCAAATTGAAAAAATCAGAACCTCTCATTAAACTGTCAATGGTCCCCTTGTAGAGTTTCAGTAGTTAAGACTAAAGTTACTTCTAGTTTACAATGCAAGGTAGTTGGCAAACATAGTTTAGGTTGCTTTTAAAACTTTTATATGCTTTTTTAACTTATTCTTCTGTACTATAAAGTACTTTCCTGAATAGCAAGAGCATTTGATTTATACACATTACACAAATTCAACACACCACTGTATCTTTATTTGTTTATTTGTTGTGGTGTCAGCTGAAACGTTGTGACGTTACTTTTTATTAAGGATGACAAATATTAAATAACTTCCTTTAAAAAAAAAAGAATAAAATAATTACAGTTGATTATAATAAAGTGCAAATAATATTGAAAAGAAAATGGAAAGTGCAACCCATTAAAATCCAGAGTATTCCCCTAAAATATCTAAAAAAAATTTGCTGAACCAATTATGATGTAAACCATGGCCTACTTTGATTTTCCAGAGAATCAGTGGAAATTATTTTATTTAAAAAATCTGTAAAATGTAGTCTTCATCAAGATTACTTCAAATCTATCTCAAACTTCATTAACATATGATGTAGAATATTTTTTTCATACAAACAAACTCTTAAATATGTTTCAATTTCAGCTGAAAAATCAAAGATGCATTGGAAATTCCTGAAAATGATGAAAATTATAGAATTATTGACACTTCTGATAATAATTTGTAAATATTACAATCTGCTTCTGTTACCTACTTTTAGTATTTTAAGCATGAATTGCATTATCAATACCTAATATTGTGAAAATTATACAGGGTGAGTCATTAATAATGGTACACAGCTTAATGGCAGATTGTTAACGTCAAAATATAGCGATTGGGCCAAACATGCCTTAGTCAATTGTTGCTCCTTTTCGTTTTACAGGGTGTTAAAGTTGAAAAAATATTTTCGATTTTTTGCTATATTTTAAGTACGTATGGACCGACTATTGAAAAATTTGTATTCTACGTTTGTTGAGGTGACAAATACGAATATGCAAACATTGTTGGAGTCAGGTCTAGGGAGCGCTAGTTATACTGTCGTACCAATGTAAAAACATTTCTAACTTTTTGTATTTTACAATTTTAAATTTTTTAACAAGAAATTATTGAGCTACGTTCAATTTTTAATAAAAAAAGGTACACTTCGATAAACTCAACCGTTTTTGAGTACAGAGGTTTTAAGTTTTTAAGATTCGGCGGGAATTAAATTTGAAAACTAGCAGGTCTTAAGATACCAAGCCTGAATTAAGAATTAAGATAAACATTACAGTAATATTTTTTAAATTTAAATCCCGCCGAATCTCAAAAACTTAAAATGTCTGTATCCCGAAAATGGTTGAGTTTATCGATTTGTAACAAGTATACATCTTTTATTTAGAATTGAACGCAGATCAATAATTTCTAGTTAAAAAATTCAAAATTGTAAAATACAAAAAGTTAGAAATGTTTTTACATTGGTACGGCAGTATAACTAGCACCCCTTAGACGTGACCCCAACACTGTTTGCATATTCGTATTTGCTACCTCAAAAAACGTAAAACTACAAATTTTCAAAACAATCGGTCCATGCATAGTTAAAATAAAGCAAAAAATTGAAAATATTTTTTCAACTTTTAACACCCTGTAGAACGAAAAGAAGCAACAATTGACTACTAAGGCATGTTTAGCTGAATCACTATATTTTGACGTTAACAATCTGCCATTAAGCTGTGTACCATTATTAATGACTCACCCTATATAAGCCTTTATTACCAGTTATAGTCAGTGTCAGTAATTTGCTAATTTCTCATCATCGGGAATTTCCAAAGCCTCCTAGAATTTTAAACGAATTAAAAATTTCCCATATGAAAAAATATTCTGCATTTTCTATTGATAAAGTTTTGTTTATTGATGATTATGACTGATTACAATTTAAAAATGTTAGTCTTCTTATAGGTAAGTTATTGCAAGTTATTTCCACAGAGTTAAGCATTAATTGCATTCCCAATACGTAAAATTCTGGCAATTATATTATGTGAAGAGGTATTATTCACCAGTTACAGTCAGCAGTGTCAAAATTGGTTTATTTTTCATCTCTAATAATTTCCAATAAAAATCTAAGACGATGAAACAGAAATTTAAAACTTAAAGCCTGCTTAAAAAATATTATATTCTGTATTATTATAAATTGATGATAGTTCTATCCTGGGATTTTAACTAAAATAACTCCCTAAAGTGATTTTCTGGAATATCGTTTCCCAAAATATTTTACTGCGGCGATCTGGATGTTAATGGTGCACACTGTAGATCATATTAATTTGTTGTTTATTTAAAGAATTGCTTTAACAAGATATAAACCATTTGATAATAATAATACAATTAATCATGTGGATTTGTCAAAATTGATGAAGTTTCAGCTGATATTCGATCTGCTCACATTTGGACACTGTTTTATAAAATGTATGTGTTAGGTCTTCAAGTGGTTTTAAAGTCTATCATTAAGGCTATGGCACCTTTGCTGCAAATTGGGTTGTTGGTGTTGTTTGCTATTGTCATATTTGCTATAATCGGCCTGGAATTTTATTCTGGAGCATTGCACCGTACGTGCTATAGCCTTTACAACATAGGTAAGTGAAAATATATTGTTAATGTGTTGTAATGTAATCGTAATGTTATAGTTATTAGTTTTTTGTAATATACAGGGTGTCCCGTTCATGTTTCAAATAAACTTATGTGCAAATTTTTCATGGAAAAATAATGGGGGTTGTTCACTTAACGTTTTTTTCTTACATGCCATGTTTTCGATATACAGAAGTTGTTACTTGCCATGTGGTTTTCCTTAATTACTTTAAATCGTCGAAAGATAAAAATATACAAATTTGTACACGATTAAACATCAACTGTGAGTTAAGAATAATGTGCAAACAGTTTCTTTCTGAAAAGCAGTGTTGTCAATACAGGTAATCGGAGATTTTTCTCGAAAATGGTACATGGTACCGAATTTCGACAAGTAAACCTTTTTTTTTTGGAGTATGCTTTAGAGTTTACAAAATCTTTTAGAAATGTAACAAATTTTGACTTTTAATTTTCAATTACCTGTATTGGCGACACTGCTTTTCAGCAAGAAACCATTTGCACATTATTCTTAACACACAGTTGATGTTTACCCGTGTACAAATTTTGACATTTTAATCTTTAGCCGATTTAAAGATAATTAAGGAAAACCATTTGGAAAGTAATAACTTCAACACACTGTATCTCGAAAACAGGGCGTCTAAGAAAAAATGTCACACAAGCAAGTTTTTTTGAAGCATGAAAGGGACACACTGTAAGTTTAATTGACTAAGTGTTAAAGATGTATGGCAAATATTAGGTTTTTTATTTAGTTGTTTCTATTTTTAACAGGAGAATAATAAATATTACTTTGTCGACATATGTAAATTATTTGATTTTAATTTTAACTTTTAAAAACAACGAAGTAATATTATTTTGTATTTCAGTTTGTTTCTGATATCCCAAATTTTAAATTTAACGAGTAGTCAAACTACTGACCAAAAAAAATACTCTTATAAGTGGGTCAACAGTAACTAGGATTATACTATCTTAATATCTAATTAGTATTACTGAAAAGCTAGATATTTTGAAATAGAGAACCTTTCCATCTGTTTACAGAATGATTTAAAAAATTGACATGTTAAAATTCTTCTTTCATATAAATATTTCCAATCAAACTTCAGAAAAGTTACAGCCCTTTTTAAGTGGGGGAAAGTAAATTTCTTCAACATTATTCCCAAAATAGTTGCAGTTAGATAAATATCAGTATATTTTCTATTTTTTTTGGCGCCCTACAAGGAGTGAGGCTTTTTTTATTTCAAAGAAATGAATTTAAAAAATCAGAACAGCTCTATCCATTTTTTAGAAAGTTGTTATTTATTGAAAAATTTTGTTATCTACCTTAATTTTGGAGCAAAAAAACTTTTAAAAATTAACGCAGATGCTAATAATACAAATACACATGCTTGGAAAATTATTTTATATTTTGTTCTTAGATATAAAGTATTTTTGTTTTAAACTTATATTACATATCTTACGAAGTTCATTTATTATGGCAAAAATGTATTTACATTTAACTATTAATAAATATAGATAATGTAATATCAAAACTGATCAATACACTTAGTTTAAACATAGTTTTAATTGGTATACCAATACGAATTTGATGTAAAAACAATTACTTTGTGTGTTAGATGAAATTGTAAAAGAAGGAGACGAAGAAGTACCATGCAATACGGACAATGAAACACAAGCCGAGAGTCAAGGTAGCAACTGGTGCAGAGACGGAAATTCTGTTTGTCTGGAAAGGTGGCAAGGTCCCAACAATGGCATAACATCTTTCGACAACATTGGGTTTGCCATGTTAACCGTATTCCAGTGTATTACCATGGAAGGTTGGACCTCCATTTTATATTGGGTAAATATAAACGATTATGTTTTGTCAGAACATCATTAAATTCATTTTTTTTAATGATGCTGCGTTTTCAGATGAACGATGCCTTGGGCAGCATCTTCAACTGGATGTACTTTGTCCCACTGATAGTCTTGGGTTCATTTTTTATGTTGAATTTAGTTCTTGGTGTTCTTAGCGGGTAAGTTTTTTGTTTGCAATTTACACGCATGTTCTGATGTCCCATATTTGACAGAGAGTTCTCTAATGAAAGGTTGAGGGTAGAGCGCAGGGCAAAGTATTACAGAACTAGGTCCAAAAATATGATAAACGAGAGTTTCGAGCAGTATATCGATTGGATAACTGAAGCAGGTGAACAAAACTGCCCTCAAGTAGTATTTGCTAGAGTATGGGCCAGATGTAACAAAATATTTAATTGTACCATTAAATTTCTGCTTATCTGTATATGACTAGCAAATTTAATTATTTTTTTGCTTATTTCAAAATTTAAAAAACAATATTAAAAAAAAAACAGTTATATAAATTTATTGCTTTGCAATTATTTTTTAGATATACAGTGTGGTTGAAATATTTTTTATTAAATAAGAATGACATATTTAAAAACTATAACTTTCTCAGAATGGCTCATTCTAAGCCTCTTATGATTTTTGGGCACCAATTTTTCAAAAATTGTATTAGAAAATATTTCTATCCAAAATCTAATAACATCTACACCTCAAAATGCCTCTGTATCAGTTTTTATGATCTGTTTGTTTTTATTCACTTATTATTTTTTTAATCAGTGTCAATGTGATCTAAAAAACAAACCCCAAAAGAATGATAACGCAATTAAATTTGCGGAAGTTGCAGTTTCCTAACATTTCGTATTCGTATTCTTATGAAAACGTAGAAAAGCCGTGTTTTTTTTCTTATCTTCCAAACTTGAAATTATTTTGATAACAAACTAAATATTCCAAGTTTGATATAGAAACTTCAATTTCAAATACCTAATTTCAAGTTTGAAAATTTTGTGTTTAATCTCAAAATTCATGGTCGAATTTGAAATTTCGAATTTCAACTTTCACTTTTGAATGTAAATTTCCGAAATTAAACATAAAATATCAAGATTGAAACACAAAATTTCCTGTGCCAACTAAAAACTTCTAGTTTGAATTCGAAATTTTGTGCTTGGACTTGAAATTTCAAATTCGAGCTCAATTTTAAAAACTCATGTTAAAATTTGACAATATTATTTATTTCAAACTACAATGTTGTGTTTCAAACTCTGAAACAAATTTCAACTCAAATTTGAAATGTGCTAAAACTTGAAATTATTTTGTTTTAATCCCGAAATTTTGTGTTTCAAATTTTTCAAATTCAAGCTCAAAATTTCAAGTTCCAAAATGAAATTTCAAGTTAAAACTTGAATTGTGGACTTTCAATTTTCATACGTTTTCTTGGGGTATATTTAACAGAAAATATTTGAACTGCATTTGTTTCTTATTCTGGTAATGGTCTATACATATTTAAATTGGGACACGCTGAATTTTATAATATAACTTGAAAAGCAAATTATTTGTCCAATTAGGGTTATTTTATAACTTCTTTTAAAAACATAGATGTTGCTACTTTTACTTAGTTTCCCCTAACGAAAATGCTTTATTATTTAGTGAATTTGCCAAAGAAAGAGAAAAAGTAGAAAACAGGCAGGAATTTCTAAAATTGAGAAGAGCAGCACAGCTAGAAAGGGAGCTAAACGGATACGTCCAGTGGATTTGTAAAGCTGGTAGGTTGAATGCTAGAGGTAGTTTGTGCTAAATAAATTTATTCGTTATTTCCTCAAAGGAAATTCTATACATTCTATACATTCTGTACATTCTATTTTTCTTTTCAAAGTGTTGTGATACTGAAGGGAGAAATCTTAATTTAATCTTATTTCTTTCAGAGGAAGTAATTTTAGCCGAAGAAAGAACGACGGAGGAGGAAAAAATGCACATAATGGAAGCGAGACGGCGCGCGGCGAAAAAGAAAAAGTTGAAAAAGATGGGAAAGAGTAAGAGTACAGACACGGAAGAGGAGCAGGAGGAAGAAGATGTGGGAGATGATGGTAAGAACTAATTTTATTCCAGTTTAGTATGTGCATTTTTCTATATTTTTGCAAGAAACTTGGAATTTTCCTCTTGAAAATTTGAGTCTAGTCGAAATTTAGGTGACGATAATATTAAATAGATTTTTCACTTCTTTAATTGTGTTAGGAACAGTTGCATGGTAACGGTAATAAATTACCTTCTTTTCGTGTCTGGACCAGAATTATCACTCTTATTTTTAACTAACGTACAGTCCATTTTATTTACAATAGTAGTTCAAAAGTACCTAATGAAAAATTCAGAACAAATTTGTTTTACATTCATATATTTCGGTTTATTGTCTCTTACCCATAATTTGTTGCTTTTGTTTACTTTTAACAATTACTTATATAATTTTATATTCTACTGATATTCGTTTTTTAATCCACAGTATTTCTTACAGAGTCTAAGAAAAAGCTAAAAGGTATGCGGCTGAAGGAAAACCACGATATTAATTATGTAAAATGAGAATATTTAGATTTTTTAGTTAATAATTTGCAAAAATATGTCTCTTTCTTTGTAGTGCCTTTCTGCGGTCTTATTCTTCGTCGAGGGGAGGACTATCGCGAGGATTAATAACACATTGCGTAGCTTCCACTGTTCATTTTCGAGGGAAACACAAATATTTTCTTAAAAAAAGAAAAAACAAATTTAATTTATAAATTACACCAATTATATACCAAAAGGAATTAAATATACTTGATGAAAAGTGCGAATATTTTGAAAATTTCTGGGGTTCTGGGGCCATTTCTGTTGTCAAAACATTAACAAACTCATTGAGTTTTATCCAGATTTGATGATACAAAAAGCACTTTTTGTGTAACACTGACAGGGTTAGTTAACGTAATTTTTTATTTTTTGGTGTGATATCCGGCTCGAAGGACCAAAGAAATGTATGAGAATTATCTAAATTCTTAGGATTAATATTCCCAAAGGTTTATAAGTCTTGGGAAAAAAAAGTCCTGTTAAAAAATTGTTCGAAAGCACTAATAGAGAAGCGATATATATAAATTAGTATGACGTACAGTATGGTGATTTTCAATAGACCACTGGTGCTTATTATAGAAATTAAAAATTGCTTTTCAGGTAAAAACAGCCAGTTGTAAATGTCCACATAAATAATGATCCTGTAAGGAAATATAGAATTTTTACATGTGAAACGAATACAATGTGTGCCATATTAATTGTAATAAAACACTAAACATGAGAGATTCTTAAATACACAATGGTGATAATTAACAAACAACTAATTACCATGTAAACAGTACTTGGAACAGACAGCAGGCTTTCTTTCATCTTCCATTTATGTATGTTTCTTTCGAAAACATATAAATCTTTTACTGCAGATCATATATTGCTCAATGAGTGGAAACTAGCGTGAGTGAAAGAAAAATACATAACACTCAGTGCTGTTAATAAAAGAAGGATCAGTCCAAGAGGATACTGCTTCAGATATTGAATTATGTTCCAGTGCCAATGACCAATTATCATGAGGATATGGACAGTGGGGTATTTGGAAATAATTTGCATCTATATTGCCTTCACGTTGAACCTGGTGCAGTGATTGTCATGGATAATGTGCCTTACCATAGTCGATAAATAGAAAAATTACCAATATCTGATTGGAAAGAAGAAAACAGAATGGTTCAATGAAATATTTATTACAAAACAATATTATTAGCAATAGTGCAATAATGAAAAGCCATATACATGAAGTGTGTTATCGATGAAATGACCATACTACTGCGCATTGAACTCCATTGAACTAGTATCGGCGAATATAAAAACTTACATGAACTGACACTGTGGCATGAAATAACATAACTTTTAAGTATAATAAAAAAAGGATGAGCATAGGCAGATTGTAGCAATATTTGTCTATAAAAACAGAAATAGTATTAAAAAAAAAGTACTCGAACAATGATGTATATTATGAGGCATCAACATCTTTGATTTTGTCTTTTCCTTTACAAAAAGAAATCAGATTAAGCTCCTCACGTCGCAGTTGGCGGGATTTGGAATAGCCGCACTCATTTCAACACGCCACTACAACAACAGTTCTCAACTGACAAACAAAATATGAACTCGTGTTCTTTTCCGAACATCTTGTCCTTGAATGCAGTGTTGCCAACTTTGTTGAAAGGAAAAACCACAAAGCATCACAGTTTCAGTCCTCTTACTTTGTGGATATGCCTCGTACTAAAAAATATTTTTTCAAATTTTACCAAAGTAAATTTGTAGCAATTGGATCTCCAAGTTCGTAAACACCTATTAACCTATTATACAATCCTAAATTAAAATCTGAAACTTCTTAATTTTAAACAGTTTATATAACAAAGATATAATTAACAAACATATACAACAAACCTAACACCTTAACATTCCTGTGGACAGTGGAAGTTAGAAAACATCAGTTTTGCCCCTCATATACCTTTCTTAGGCCTGTGTAGCTTCTCCACGGTATTTTTGCATCGCATTTTTGTCGTATCTTTTCAAAATGTTCCATTCAAAGTATTAGGTATTACGTATTTTATATCTAGATTCTACCACAAGTTTTTCAGTGAAACATAAAGCGCACAGGTCAGCTTTGGCTGATAGAAGTATCTTGTCGCATCATACCTGAAACTGAATAGCAAAGTAAACCCTGTATAATTTGATCGTAGGTTCTTTGTAGTTTTCTCGACTTAGTCTGACTTTTATAAAACCACCAAGAACTCAATCCTGATACCTCTTGAACCTGATACGTTAGCTCTGGTTTTAGGAGTAGCTGTTTGCCGTAGATTTAATTATGATAGTTCTAGTTCTAGTTTAAGCAAGTAGCGATTCTTTTTTTTTTTTGAAATGTGAACATAAGTTTTTAGACCTTTCAGTTTTGCTTGATTTTATTGATCATGAAGATATCGATAAGTCTGTCGGGCAAAATTATTTACAGTTTTCAAAACATTTGTTTTTATTTAAACAAACATACGAGTATATTTGTTGTTTTAGCTCTAACAAAACCATTTGAAGAGCGGTAGATTTTGTAAATATCATTCTTATGTAAAATATTTTTGCCTGACGTAATCTGTTAAGATAATCGAACTCTTAAAAATATGTTGACTATTTTCTTTACAGGTAATGTAATCGGCACTCTCTATACAGGGTGTAGCACAACAAAATGTCTAAAAGTGAGAATTTTTGAAGTTTTATGTTATTTCTCTAAATATTTTCTGAATATTTTTTGTATTTCTGAAATTGAAAAATGTTTTGAGGTATGGAAAACGAGATTTTATCATCTTCAAAATTACTGTTTTTGTTGTGTAATAAAATTCTATCTAAAAGCATATACATTTTTTTCAGTGACATACCTTAATTTCTCTATAAAATTAACCGGTAAACTATATACAGGATGTCGCACTTAAATGCGATACAAGCCTGTAACTTCTTTAATTTTTGAATAATTTAAAAAAAAATTTTTTGGTAGGGTAAAAACATCTCTAACTAACTGTGATACTGCTGTTTTTATTAATGCAATACACGGCTAATTAGGACATCGTGGCCTGAAGATGTATCGAATTTGATGAAACTTGGTGATAAGACTTTTTAAGGGATGCTGAATGAGAATACTTAATCTGTTTTTTGGAAAAAAATCGCTAATACCAATTAACTGTTTTGACGTCAAAAAACGCGTCCTAGTTGGCTGTATATTGCATTAATAAAAACTGCAGTATCACAGTTAGAGTTTTTTACCCTACATTCTAAAAAAAATTTTGAAATAGACCAAAAAAATAAAGAAGTTACAGGTTTGTATCACATTTAAACGCAATACCCTTTATACCCCCTTAACTTTTCCACTTTGAATGCAAATTTTCAGAAAATATTTAGGGATATAACATTTTTTTTAAGCTTCAACAGCCTGTATCTGTGTTACACACTGTATATATAATTGAAAAGACTTTTCTGTTTGTAGAAATTATATTCATTTTACGTTATACAGGATGTTTTAGAAAACGGTCTCATAAATTCAGTAGCTGATAGAACGTCAAAATATTTGATTTTTTCTATGGGCCGTGCGTCTATCCACTTTTGTTTTTGAGATCCAGTGCCTCAACCACGAATTTTTAGGTCAAGTTTTGAGAGTTTGCTAACTATGAGCCTTTCTCACAAGGGGAGGCGGCACTATGTTGGTCATCTATTTGGCCAAGTCTCTATGTACTTAAAGAGACTCAGTAGTGTAGTAGTATATAACCAAATTCCGAAAATTCGATCTTACGAAAGCTGTCGTGGCGAAATAAGCAGTGTTTCTTAGCGCGAAGATTTGGGTTTGAGACTAACCGTATATTTATTTTATTCTCCTGTCCTCCTTTCTTCATGGAAAATATTTATTTGTACAGTTCCTTCTAAGAAAGGTTATAGTTAGTCAGTGGCGGCTTCTGATATTGTGAATAGGTGAAGCATATTCATTGATTGCCAAAAAGGAAAAAAAAGCACTGCAGCAAATATTTTCATATTTTCAAGATCAAACGGCTTTAAATGAATCTGGAAATTTTTAGTTGCATTGGCAATATTACCGAAAACTGACGTTCGTGATAAGGATCTTCATTTAGATTTTTTTTAAAATAGAAATACTAGTTTGACTTGTGGACTTCTGCGAACATTAACGCACACCCTACATGTATGTTCCAAAGAAGCTTTGTGGTTATGACAACTTCCCGTGACGTTCCCAAAATTGTTAAATCCCTTATTACAGAAACCCGACTTTACAACCACAATTAAACACTGCATACAGAAAAGTTGTTTTAAATAAACACTTCCACACAACCACTTATACTCCGAATACTATTTATTTCGAAATTTCCGAATATACACATTGTCTTTTGACTTCCCCTTATTTCCATATCGAGAGAATAAGACACAGGTCTCACAATTTAAAAAATTCCTTTTGTCCTCAATTTTCCATCTGGAAAATGACGTTTCAAATAAAATACCTACTGGCTCATACATAGGAAACATTTCTACAATTATTATACAAAACAAATATTAACTAAGAACAATTATAATCATGCACTGGGCGCGCGTATCATATAAACTGTTTAAAGGCAGACGATGGGCGATGACAATGCTGTTTCAATATCCATGTCACTCGTTCCCCCACGCCGTAGGTTACTCCCGTGTTGGCCGCCTCTTTACCATGACAACCGCCGTAAACAACGCTTCGTAGAGAAGCGAAACACAGACTGATTTCGATCTGCGTCACTTGCGTATACTATAAGTTGTATAGTATGAGGTTGATGTTCGCGCTCAACGAAGGCAATGTTTTTTTAGAAGGCGTTCACCACACAACTATTCTGTTTATATCTATATAATAATATATATTTATAAATTTATATAAAATTAAAAATAATTTTAAATTGCACAACCATTGAAGTTTTAGGTGAAGTCATCTGACAAGCCGCCACTGTAAGCAACTTCTAGAAACCAATTTTTTTTCTAGTCATTCCCCTTGGTACCTCTAACAAATTGCTAAATTTCATGCCATTGATTTTTTCAGACTTGCCATGATTAGTTTGCAATTAAAATTGTACTCCTAACAAAAAAATCCCATAAACTCTTTTTGAGAATTATTTTACATTTTGTAGAGTGAAATTTAAAAAATAATAAATCGAAAATGTTTTTCAAATAGAACGAAATATATCTTTTTTCTTGGAAACACTACAAGAAGTTACAAGGTGATTATACTGACTCTTCAAAATATCCGGTAGCGTTGAATTTCTAAGGAAAAAAATTTATTTATTTTAAAAAATTTTCTTTGAAGCGTAGTATTTCAAAAACCTAGGAATAATGCTTTCTTCTCATGGTCCTTGGGAAAAAGTATAATTTTTTTATATTCTATCAGTCCCTAAATGTCTTTTTCAAAAACACCCTGTATATGTAAAACACTCGGTGAATTAATTTAAAATTACAGTTTTCATTTGTTTAAAACTTTTTTTATAAATTTATTTTAATTTGTAATTAATAATTATATCAAAAGGGAGTGTCTCAAACCTGTATCACAATCATAAACAATTTTTTAATTAAATAAACTCATTTATATAAGTTACAATTAATTCTAATAAAGAAGTTTTTGTATAAGAATCGTCTATTTTGCAAGTTTATGAAAATTAAGCAAACTTTTTGACTATGACGACACTTATACAAAATTGATGTGACATTATCGCCCGAAGTCAAAATAAAACCATTTCCAATGTTGAAGTTGAAGTATTGTTGGCAGGTTTCGGGAGGACGTCATATTTAAAATCAAGGGTCAAAGGGCAGGGAGGATGCGCCCGGTTCTGGAGGGCCGAAAAGAGGTTCAGATTTGGTGTGAGGCACATGATTAAGACACAGTGGTTTTATTGGTCTGTTATAATGCTTGTCTTTTTAAATACGATTTGCGTTGCCGTCGAGTTCCATGGGCAACCCAAGTGGTTGACCAATTTTTTATGTAAGTATTACATAAGTTTTTTTTTATTATCAATTTTTATACTTTTAGATAACGAAAACTTTTCACAATATATCTTTTTTTTACAGATTGTGCCGAATTCGTATTCTTAGGTCTGTTCATGTCAGAGATGTTCATAAAGATGTACGCCCTGGGGCCAAGGATATACTTTGAGTCTGCCTTCAACCGCTTCGATTGCGTCGTGATATCGGGGTCTATATTCGAGGTGATCTGGTCCGCGGTGAAAGGAGGGTCCTTTGGACTGTCCGTACTTAGGGCCCTCAGGCTGTTGAGGATATTCAAAGTGACGAAATACTGGTCGTCCCTCCGCAACCTCGTCATTTCGCTGCTCAACTCGATGCGATCCATCATCTCCCTGTTGTTCCTTCTGTTCTTGTTCATTCTCATTTTCGCGTTGCTCGGGATGCAGCTCTTCGGGGGACAGTTCAACTTCGAGGGCGGAACTCCCAACGCCAACTTCAACACCTTCCCCATCGCGTTGTTGACGGTGTTTCAAGTAAGAGAACTTCTATTAAGGATATACCTTGTTTTCTTTATGGAAAAGTAACGTTTTTCTTTCAGATTCTGACCGGTGAGGATTGGAACGAGGTGATGTACAACGGCATCAATGCGCTGGGCGGCCCGCACGAGAACGGCATGATTTACTCCTTATATTTCATAATACTCATGCTTTTCGGCAACTACACATTGCTCAACGTATTCTTGGCCATTGCGGTCGATAACTTGGCTAACGCTCAGGAGTTGACGGCCGCCGAAGAAGAACAAGCCGAGGAAAACAAAGAGAAGCAAGCCTTGGAGTTGGAGAAGGAAATGGAGGCCTTGCAGTTGGAAGGTTCTAATCCCAGGGTGGAGGTGTGCCCTCCGAGTCCTGTCAGGGGGCGGAAAAAGAAGGAGGAGAAACCCGAGGAGGAGGAAGAGATTATTGGCCCGAAACCGATGTTGCCGTACTCCAGCATGTTCATTCTTTCTTCAACTAATCCGTAAGTGTGTGATATTCGTCCTTTATTAACGTTTCTTTAAGATTTAAATATTCCAGAAACAATATTCTGTGCATAGTACAGTCATTGTAGCTTTTCACCTCTGAATTCTTTGAAACTGAACCGATCGACTTGAAATTTGGCAGATAGTTAGAGAAAAGGTCAATGAATATTAGTGACATAGCGCCGATTGACGCTTCCACCCTGTTGGGAGTTGACACCCCTTCTGGGGGGTGGAAATTTAAAAAAAATAATAACGCTGGAAATCGATAGAGAATTAAATTTTGAGCAAAAAATATTTTTTCGAGAAATCAATAGTTTTTTAGTTATTCACGATTGAAAACTTGGAATTTTGAGGGAAAAAACACTTTTTCAAAGTATTTTTCATGAATAACTCAAAAACTACGCATTTTATTATAAAAAGTGTAATGAACAAAAATGTAGCTTATAAATAAACAAAGAAAATCGTTTTTTTAAAGTGTTGTACGTCCTATACAAAGCGAAATATGGTTAGTGGAAGGGGACTTGTTTTGGGGGGAATACTCAAATCGATGTATACGTCAAATAACGGAAAAAGGATTAATTTTACGTGTATAACACTCCGGAAGTTTTTTGTAGTACTCAAAAAGACCTTCAAAATGAGCACTTATAAAAGTTAATTGGAGCAAAATTGAAGGTGTTATCGTCAAAAACAGATGGGTGGCTCATATTTTTTAAGGAAAAATGAGCAGTGAATACTATACCATTTCCATCGGAATTAAAATTAATATAATACATCTGTTTATTGAAATAGGTTGACCCTAATACACCATTCAATATACATGCATCTGACTAAGCCTAAAACACATTAACTACATTATACCCATAACTTACACATATACACACATATATATACACACATATATACATACATATAAAAGCCACCAACAATCAGTTAATCAAATTTCTTAGTCTACACTTAAAGGAATTCAAGGACTCCACATTTCTTACCTCTAGTGGGAGTTTATTAAATTCATTAAAACCCTTAAAGAATAAAGAATTCATTGTACCTCTATAATTTGTTTTAGAAATATATAGGTTTCTATTATTTCTTGTATCATAATGATGGACATCCCCACCAAACACAACATATTTACTGAAATATTCTGGTCCCAATCCGTTAACTATTTTATACACAAAAACCATAGTTGAGAAATACAACTTCTGTTCAACTGACAACCAATTTAAAGTTTTTAACATATTTACTATCGGTGTACGGCGGTTTGCTGTTAGTATGATCCTCATGGCACGATTTTGCAGTTTTTGTAATTGATTCAGTTTATTAAGATTAAACATATATAAAACTGATGCACAGTAATCAAAATGTGGCTGAATAATAGAATGAAATACTGTAATCTTGGTTTGAGTTGTCAAATGCTGAGATACTCTGCCAAAAAAATATAGTTTCTTAGATATCTTTTTCTGCATATAATCCAAATGGTAATCAAAGTTTAGAAAACTATCCATTTGAAAACCCAAATACTTTATATGGGATACTATATCTATATTCTCATTACTTATATGCAATTTAATTCCAGTCACATCCATCATACGATACTTATATTTAGTTGTAAATATTACGGCTTTAGTTTTCTGAATATTCAATTTTAGTTTATTAGCTGTAAAATATATTGCTGCAGCTGTTAATATCCTATTTGTTTGTTGTATTGCTTTCTCGAGGCTAACATCACTGCATGCTATGAATGTATCGTCAGCAAAAAGATTAATAAATTCACAATCTATAAAAAGTTCGATATCATTAAGGTATAATATAAAGAGAAGAGGACCCAGGACACTACCTTGAGGTATACCTATATCATTGTTTATTTCATTAGATACAGCTTCATTAAAACGAACTCTTTGTTTCCGATCTTGGAGATAATCCTCAAACCAACCATACACCCTTCCCCCAACGCCATACTGTTTTATCTTGGCTAACAACAATTTTCTGTCCACTGTCTCAAAAGCCCTTTTTAAGTCCAAGAATATCCCAATCACATACTTATTATTGTCAATATCATTCTTTATTTTACATAGGGTTAATTGAAGAGCTGACTCACAAGAATGCTTTTGTCGAAAACCAGACTGAATATTTATTAAAATGGAATTTTTTTCAACATGTTCAAGCAATTGCTCATATACCACTAATTCAAGTACTTTTTCAATTGATGGCAATGTATTAACCGGTCGAAATTCATTAGCTTTAGTTGTATTAACAATTTTTTGTATTGGAATGATTGTAGAGACTTTCAGTAACTTCGGGATCCTCCCAGTACGCAGCGACGTATTTATAAAGTTAAGTATAACATGACCAATTGCTTTAAATATTTCCTTTAATATTTTGGGGTTCATCACATCATGCACAGAGTATCTATTATCCAAGTTATTTATAATCTTACTTAATTCTGACATAGTTACTGTCCTAAATTCATCAAACGCTGGATACAAATTATAATTATATAAACCATACCCATTACCATTATTGGCGATAATACTATTTGTAATATCTCCAATACTATCAACAAAATAACCATTAAAATTTTCTGCAATCTCTACATCATTTTTTAGTACCCTAATTTCTAATCCCTCATCAAATGAAATATTACTATTCATATTTTGACTATTTACATTAACTAAATTCTTCAAAGTTTTCCACATTTCCCTTGTATCATTCTTAAACATATCAATTTTGTTGAAATAATATTGTTCTTTTTTGCGCTTTAGAAGATTGACAACACTATTTCTATACACCTTAAAGATTTCCCATTTATATTGTTTTTCATTATCCGAACAGTTTTTAAAAGATTGGTAAGCTCTATCACGGTCCTTAATTTTATCAAAAACCTCATTATCAAACCAAGGTATTTTAGTTTTATATTTACAAGTTTGTATAGGAGCAATGTCATCAACTACCAAGTTACAATTCATTGAAATCTCTTGAAATATCCTTTCGATATCCGTTGTATCTAAATTCCAGTCACACATCATTAAGTTTGTTTTTATGTTGTTTAGGTTTTTTTCGCTAAAGTTTCTGTATTTCTTTAACTGATCATTAGTACAAGAGCAATTACCCAAATCAACACTCAAATCTGAATGATCTGTTATCTTAGGATAATCATACACATGAGCTATTATATTATTTTGATTTGTTAATACATAGTCAACTAGTGTTTCACTAGTAGCTGTAACTCGGGTAGGTTTTGTTACAAGTTGACTTATACTATACAGTGCAATTAATTGTCTTATTTTATCAGAATAGAAACTAGATCGCAGCAAATCAATGTTGAAATCACCTACCAATACACATCTATTATTAGAAAATAAGTTATCACATATTTCTTCAAAGTCTTCAATAAATCTTGCATCCGAGCTCGATGGAGAATGATAAAGACAACCCACCAACCATTTAGAAGACATCATATCAATTTTCACAAATTTACACCAATAGTTTTCATGCATTACAAACGACTTCACACCAGACAGCTCATAATTGTTTTATATATATATATTAACACACCTCCAGTATGTCTACTATGTGAGTCACACCTAATACACCTGTAATTATCAATTTTAAGTTCATTGTCTTCAACATCAACTGTTGTTCTTGCTTCACTCAATAGTATTATTTTTGGATTATAGTAAGCAATACTGTGACGTATTTGGTCTATATTGCTTAACACACTCTGAGCATTAAGATATATAATATCAACGTTCAGTGGTATATCAGGGCTTGCAACTAGTTTTTTTTGACTATTCGATAATCTTGTTTGTTAACAATAGTTGGTTTATTATTCACAAATTTTATAGTTTTGCTATCATCTCCATTTTGAATAAATTTTTGTAGTTCACCTTTTACCCAGTTAAAGTAATCTCTTTGCATTTTAGTTTGATCACCGTATATTCTAACACTAGGAACATTCACAAGATTTTTGTTCTTCAAAACAATTTTTGCATCTTCAACTGACTTCAAAATTACTTTCAGAGGTCTGTTCTTATGGGGTTCATACTTGCCTAATCTAAAATTTCTTAAATCGTCTTTGTCTATGTTAAAGTCCCTTAAGTAAAAAACGAAGGACTTAAAAGGTTTTATATGCAGACGATCTTACAGCTCCTGAAATTATCTTTAAAATGCTTTTTTTGTAGGATAGCTTGCTTCAAAATTAACCGAGTTATAGTAAAAAAACCAATGACATTTTTTTGGAGCAATATAGGCTTTCTCATTTTTGGAGCAAAATGTTAGGATTCAAGTGCACGTCAGCGTGTATAAAAGTTTATATCCAGCGTAGCAATTTTTTTATGATTGATTATATTTAGAAATCGATTATAATAAAAATATTTTACATTAATATTGGTAAAGGGGTATTTTATAAGAGTTGAAAATGGCAAAAGTAAAATATTCTTTCATAAACAATATAAGGGAATTTTTATTTTTAATTATTGCACAATTATGACATTCCAAGATTTAAAACGTAATTTTTTATCATTTTGTTTAGCACAGGGGTGATTTATAAGGGTTGAAAAGTGTTATGAGATACAAATTCTTTCATAAGCAATGAGGGAATTTTTATTTTAAATAATTGCCCCGTTAAAGCATTCCAAACTTTTAAAAAGTAATTTTTTATTATTTTTATCAATACAGGGGTGGTTTTTAGGGGTTGAAAGGGAAAATTTCTTTTATTGGCTATAAGGTAACTTTTATTTTAAATAATTGCACGATTTAATCATTCCAAATCTTTAAAAAGTAGTTTTTTATCATATTATTTTTGCATAGGGGTAGTTTTTAAGGGTTAAATAAGGGGTCAAAAAGATCAAATATATCATAAAACATGTTCGAGAACATGGAAATATTATATAATCTTTGTGTTTGAACAAGATTTTTATCAATAAAATGCTTAAAACTTACTTTTTTCAATTTTTTTCACTTAGGGGTAGTTTTTACCCCTAAAAACAGAAAGCGTCAATCGGGCTTATGTCACTTTTGAACTTGAGCCTAAGATGAGCCTTATTCTAAATTTTCATGCAAATCCATGCAGTTTCAAAGAATTTGGAGGTTACAGCTGATTTTCAGCTTCAATGACTGTAGGATGGGTTTTGGATAAAATAACATGATTTAACTAAATTTACTTTCTCTAGATTAATATTTGAGAAATTATGATATTAACGTGATAAAATATTTTGAAATTAACTTAGTTGTCTTCATTAAAAAAAAATCAGTGATCTGTCTTTTCGTTTGCAGTGTACGAAGGTGTGCACATTGGATCGTAAACCTGCGATATTTCGATTTTTTTATTATGATCGTCATCTGTCTGAGTTCCATGGCCCTAGCAGCGGAGGACCCGGTGGATGAGAATGCGTTCCGCAACACTATCCTAGACAAGCTGGATTACGCCTTCACGGGGGTATTCGCGGTCGAGATGTTTCTCAAGATAATCGACCTGGGGGTGATCCTGCATCCCGGGTCGTACCTCAGAGAATTGTGGAATATCATGGACGCCGTGGTGGTGATCTGCGCCCTCGTATCCATGGGTTTCGATTTTGCGTAAGTCATCTAATAAATACATGTTTGAACTAGAATAGTTTTTTACGGTGATGCATTGTGTATGTCCGTTTTTTTTTTAGGAAACGTCCAGCGGCCACGAACTTGTCGACGATAAAATCGTTGAGAGTGTTGCGAGTGTTGAGACCTTTAAAAACAATTAAAAGAGTGCCCAAACTGAAGGCGGTGTTCGACTGTCTCGTGAACTCATTAAAAAATGTGATAAACATTCTTATAGTGTACATATTATTCCAATTTATATTCGCTGTGATTGCCGTTCAACTATTTAACGGAAAATTTTTTTATTGTACTGATGGTAGCAAATTTACAGAAGCAACCTGCCAGTAAGTATCACTAGAAATTATGTCACTTAAAAATTTCTGTTTGCTAATCCTAAATCTACACATGAAGCGGGCCGAGAAAAAAACTTTTCGAGTACCAGTTTCTTTCGACATTTGGCCCTGTTTTTGCAAGAAGTGTTTTTAATTGTTAATATTATTTTGATTGAAAATTCAAATATTCACGTTTCTTTAAATACTTTGGGAAATTCAGTTTTTTTTATTCACTATGTTTTTTCTTTAATAAATAAAATAAAATAAAAACTGGAAATATCGAGTTTGAAACATAAAATTTCAAATAATATGTGATGCACAGAATTTGGTAGATAAAAATTATGTAACATTTCTACTTTATTCTTGAAATTTTAGATTTGAAATTACATTTTTCAAACTCAAAATTTTGTGTTCCAAATTCTAAATTTTGAGTTTGAATTCGAAATTTGGTATACAAAACCATATGGTCTTTCTACTTGAAATTTCATATTTACAGCTTGAAATTTCTTCTCAGACTTGAAATTTTGATTTGAAACTCAAAATTTGGAATTGAAATGTCAAAATAACTATCTCGAAATTGAAATTTATTTGAAATTTGGACAAAAAAAAAGTTTCAGGATCGAACTAGAAACTTTGTGTTTGAACCAAAATTTTAGATTTAATTTAAAATATTCTGAATAGAAAATATTAAGTTTCTACCTGAAACTTCGAGTTTGAGTCAATCTTGAGGTCTCGATTGAAGTCTCGATTTTAGTAAAAAATGTGTTTCAAACTTGAAATATGATAAATGAAAAATGAAATTTCTATTAAAACGTAAAGTTTGAATTTAAACTTGAAATTTTATATTCAAATTCAAAATCTCGTAAATTTAAAATTTGCACTTTAAACTCAATGTTTCAAAGTCAAAATTTTTAGTACAAACACGAATTTCAAGTATGACACATTCAAGCAGCATTTGTGCTGTTATAGGACCATGATATAATTGCATTTTTTTTTACTCACATTTTTCAGGGGTCATTTTTTTGTATATGAGGAAGACAGCGATGTGCCTGAGGTGGAAAAGCGCGAATGGTTGTCACAAAAATTCCATTACGACGACGTGGCGATGGCCATGCTGACACTCTTTGCCGTTCAGACGGGAGAAGGATGGCCTCAGTGAGTAGACCCGCTTGAATACACGCTTTAAAAAGGTGCTGTGCCCCGAATTTCACGAATCGCATTACTTCCAGGGTTCTGCAAAACTCGATGGCTGCCACTTATGAGGATCAAGGCCCTATACAGAACTTTCGAATAGAAATGTCCATTTTCTATATCGTATATTTTGTAGTGTTCCCGTTTTTCTTTGTAAATATATTCGTAGCCTTGATCATTATCACGTTTCAAGAGCAGGGAGAGGCCGAGCTTCAGAGTGGTGAGATCGATAAAAATCAAGTAAGTCACGTTTTTGTTATACTAACTCATTTAACAACCAAAAAATTTGAAAATATTTGAATTTTCATGGGGATGTCGAAAGATGTAGCTCAAATGTGGCCCAAATTAGAAGAATGTTGTGCTATCGGATCGGTAAAATGGCAAGAGATCTCGGTTTTTTAAGTTTTAATATACATTATTTGAGAAAAGCAGATTTCTCAATTTTCTGTTTTAATTTTTCAGGTATCAGAGATGTAGTGAAATTAATTAAAAAAAAAAAAATTTTTAATTCTTCATCGATGTTTTGCTTTATTTGATATCATCCTCAGGACTCTAAAAATTCATGAAAAACCCTCTCTAAATGTGTATAAATTATACCATAATTCAAATAAATTTGGGAACATGTCTTTGTGTTTTACCTTTGTTGTCTCAAACATGGAATTTTAACATTAAAATCAAAATTTCATGTTTGAACTTCTTGTTTGAACTTGAAATTTTTAGTTTGAATTGAAAGGTTGGTAAATAAAAAATTTATATAATCTTTCTATTTTCTTCTTGAATCTTTGGATCCGAATCCAATTTTGAAATTTCCTACCGGATCGGGTTGATTTGTTTGTTGTTGTCTCCTCTTGCATTGGTATGGTGTTAGCTGGAACAATCTGGCTCCTTTTTTACCTGCAGTGCTGGCTGGGAGGTTAGTCGCCTGCTTGCTGATAAAGGGTTTCCAGTTGGCTCGTACTCCTTGACGATAACCAGAAGGACTCCCAGGGGTGAATGACTGTGAGACCGTCATTGTTCCTCCATGGATGTCGAGGTTGTTGGTCTGCTAAGGAAGATGATCCACACTTTAATTTGATCCAACACACAGGATGTTGCACTCGATATGTTAGTTCAAGTAGGCTTTCAACTGACCCTGTATGAGTTCAAGTTTTAAGGTTTTGACTGACACTGTATAGTTTTTTGTACTAAAAGTTAATCTTAGGATTATTTGCACTTCAAGTTCTGGGACTCTATAGTCTTATATGTGGACTATTAGGTTTCTTTGGAGTACCTACAAGCTTTAGGAGCTTTTGTACTGCGCCTCATAGGAGGGCTAGTGAATTGCAGCTTTAGAAGCTGGTTTACCATTTTTCAGGGTCCTCGCCATAGTTAGGACATACCTAGATGGACTGCTTGAAGAACAGAGCTAAGGAGCTCCTAAGAATGATTTTTTTGGATATAATCTCTCAGGTTTGTGGCTTTTGGAGAGAATCTAACTCTAAAATTTTGTATTTAATTGTTTATTTTGGATAAATATAACAACAATAGCATATATTTACATTTACATAAGAAAACTTGAACAATTTTGAGCATGTGCAAACGCTGGCCAGAATTCGATCCCTGGTTATATATCTGCCGATTCCCAGGGTTGATGTTCGTTCACATTTCATCCTTCTCCGCAGGTGGCTCTCTTGCGGGCTTCGATTTAGAACGGCTTCTCTGGACCTTGGCTGGATTCCGCGGCTTACATTTTCGACATATTAAAACTGTGACATCCTTTTGGGTTGACTAGATTAATGATGGATCTCACAAAATTCGGAGCATTTTTTTTATTTCCAAAATTCTGACCTAAAACGGCTACGCGGCCCTCATTTCAAACTGTCGGGAATATGGGCTGCTGTGTTGAGGTAGTTTAGGCTGCATGGGTTTTCGGATACTATGGCGGGAATTTTTGAAAGTGAAGTGATTTTTTGCTTTTCCTACGCCTCTTGGAAGGAGCTGTTGATGGCATCTGTCCTTATCAACATAGACTATCATGGATAGGACATTTTCGGGCTACTTGGATCAGTTTTGAGCGCAACAACGGAATTTTGGAAAGATGGGTGAAATTTCCAATTTTCTCGCCGCGTGTTTCGTCGCTGTGCTGGGGTAGGTCCTTTGGGAGCCCTCCTTGACTTCAGCGGGGATGGATTTGGTTTTTTCCAGCTTTGCAGTCTCGAATGGAAAGTGTGGTAAATTGTGAATGGTAATACAACAATATCTTTCCTAATAGTTCAATTTTTTATTAATCATTTCACTTACAGTATACAGATGAGTTGTAATAAGTAAGGCACTACATTTTTAGTTCGTTTCCACTAACGTAGGGCTGGGTAGGTACTCCACGCTGCCGCACCGCTAGGAATGCAAAATAATACCAGAATCGGCAATAATCCTCATTCTAACGACAGCAGTAGGTAGGTAGTATCCAGTTACATCGCATCTTTAGCAACGAGATTTTTTCTGTGTCTTAAAAAAATAAATACATAGGTGTGTCGAAATTAAGTACTAACAAACAATTGTAACAGAAACAATTCTTCGGTGTTACCCAAATGTAGATGAATTAATAGCACAGACCAAGGCAGTTTTGCTCAAATCCTCAAAACGTATTCGTCAATTCCACCAACAGTGTCCTGGCATTCCAGAACCTCCACAACACATTCTTACATGATGGGGGACATAGTTAGAGGCATCATTTTATATTTTAAACATTTTCAAAAAGTAAAATCCGTAATTTTACAATTTGATGCCAAAGAATCCGCTGTATATTTGGAAGAGCCAAATAAAATTTCAAGATAATCCAGTTGAAGCACAATGATATACAAACAGTATGCCTTAAGTGACGAGAAAAGCGTTTACGTCAGAGACAAGTTTGACAATGTTTTGAGAAAAAAATCCAGATTTTTCCAGATTAAGATACATCCATAGCAATTGTGCTCCCATGGATTCATTAACTGCTTTTAGAGATTACTTCAAATATGCACCTATAAAGTCATTAGACGTCGACCAATCGTTATCGTTATAAAAGAAATTTTTTTCCCCATTGCCGACATCGCTTAAAGAATCTACTGTGGAGACATATGTAATGTTCCAGATATTTGCCAGAGCTCATCCATTCTAATCATTTCACAATATTATAAAAATAATTATTATAAACGCACTAGGTAATCTACGCGCAAACGCCTCTGCTTTCAGACTGAAATGTCATGCCTTACTAATAAGTTCTAGACCAGTCTACTAATGAGTGATCTTAACTGTTTACTAGATATTACAGATGTAATTCAATGGCTGGGTAGAGTATGTAGCTGGCAAAGTAGGTGTTTTCCACAATATCATTGATTAAAAGGTTTATTACATCTAATGCAAAATCGGTCATGTTTTCGTAGTGCCTACAGATTAGTAGGTCACTCTCTGCCAGCAGGTACAAATTAATGCCTTGGGCTAGTAAGCATTGATCAGCAATGTCATTAAAGAAACAATATATGTTTACAAGTTATATCTCACCCAGACTCAAAACAAAGTTGAATTTAAAAAAACCAGGCTGATATCAGTATATGAAAAACGAAATGAAAATAAAAATTTATAAATTTGTTTCACAGAATATCTCAAAACTGAGAAGTATATCTGAGATCTGTTAATACCAACTTTTTTTGTAATTTGGGCTCCATATCTTGCCATCTTCAAAATCCCCATGATACACATCGTTATTTCTGTCACGGTATTGGGCGTTTTTCAGAAATCGTGTATAGACTTTACTATCCAAGCTCGTCCATTAGAAAGGTACATGCCAAATAAAAGAAACAGCTTTAAATATAAGATATGGAGGGTAGTCGTGTCGACGCCATTTGAATATTTCATCATGATGTTAATTGTTTTTAATACCTTATTGCTGATGATGAAGGTAAGTTATGTGTCCGTTTTCTCTATATGCACTTTAAATATATATAATTTACTTTTTCACGAGAATTGTTCAACATGAAACCAAAATTCGGAGAAATTAAGTTCATTTGATTGCATTAATGTCATTTTTGAGTAGATTTCTCTCCGAATTTCGGTTATTTTTTTATGAAAAGTTAAAAGTCGGCAGCCTAAACGATTTACCGATGCACCTTGGATGCGGGACACTTTCTTACAAGATTCACACACCGAATGCTATTGTCAGCGTTGCGCACAACCATTCTGCATATGAATTCAAGCAATACAAACATTTTTTACCACATTTTGGTATTTTTTTACGCTTCAAGGCAGTTTATTGGAAAACAACAGTAAACGAAATCGACCTAGTTCTTAAATAAACTCTTAGATAATGTCTTTATATCTTAGATCTAGGTAATTAGTATAGCAGTGAAATTAATTAAATCTGTTAGTGTTGATTATACTTTACATAGATTGATGGAAGTAATTCTTTCGATGTCGTTTTTCATGAGCATGATCAGTGTTGAGGTAATAAGTGGCTTTAAATTGTAAGCACCACATCACTAATGTTGAATTTCGGGGGAAGTTGCGGTTTTCTCGCACAGGTTTTATCAGCTTTCTGCCGCAAAAATTTTTATTATCCGAATGGATATGCCAGACTTCAAAAGTAGCTGTAAACTGATGGAATGTACAAAACAAATTTTGCTTCTTTAAAATGTTACAATTTTTTTTATAGCTAGTTGCTGACCCGTTGTTACATTTTTCATTTTTGGTCTCGATTATGTCAGGAAATATAACAAAAAAATGCTATTACACGTCAACATTTCATTGTTTTTATTGTCATTAAAATTTGTTAATTGGGTTCAGAATTGCAATTTCTTTTAATGGTTAGTTCTACTTTTACAAAAATTTTTTAATTTTTATTTTTACTAAAATTCAAGTACTGTTCAAGCCTTAGAATTTTCCGAAAATATAGTTTTTTTCTTTTTAATTAAATGTTTTTTCTTTTGTATAATTGTTTGTGTATATATGAATACATTACTGATAAACGTAAAGGGAAAAAATGCCATACATTTTTTATTTTTTTTTTCCACTTATAAAATTTCTCGAATTCTCGAATTTGAAAATGATATTTTGACTGGATTTTCAAAATTTTTAGTTTGAACTCAAAATTTCAAATTTGTGCAAGAGACGGCAAAAAATATATGACCTTTTACTTTCTACTTGAAGTTTTAAATTTGAATTAAATTAATTGAATTAAAAAATATAGTCTTTCTACTTGATATTTTGTGACTCAAACTTGTGAAAACAATTGGGTGGCTTAAATTACAAAAAAAGTATATTAAATCAATTAAAGAGAAAGAGAAAGATGATAAAACCTGTAAAATTTACCTTGTACCTGTCTGTAAAGATATTAGATATAACGAGGCATCAGAAAATCTGACACATATATAGCATGTCTTTTATGTTTGTGTAATTGTTTCATTTCAGTTACATTTTGAGAACAAGCTGCACCTCTGTGAATGTCGTACTACTTTTTGGTGTCCGGCTATATATATACTTTGGTTTTTTTGCAATAAACAGGGGCGTACGTGTGAAGGGTTCTCATTTTTATATTCAATAATTACAAAAAGCTCTTGCCACCCGTTTCCACTGACTACGCCGCTGATTAATGAGTTTAATCCAAGACTACTTTGACGTAGGAGTTCACGAGTAGGGAAAGTTCTGTCCCTTCCGTAAACGCCTATAATTTCAGGAGAGCATTGCTGAACTTGGCTGCAGTGCACAGAAAAACACTTATTCCCGTAGATGTTAGATAGTACAGGTCCCCTTTTCCCTTTTCACTTAAATGTCTTAGTTTCTTGTGATGTACATATAGCACCATATTTATACACCTTATCAGGCAATTTCTTATTTACCAAGTTTAGCAATATTGCACACTTTGACAATGCATAATTCCAAATATATGTATAACGTTCTTTAAGTACGTGACCACTTCAGGTTATTCCTTAAGTTGTTTTAAGCTAAAATGGTCTAAAATCACTAATTTTTGTGATACGGGGTGAAAATTTTGAAATTTTAAAAAGTTTGACATTTAATTAAATACCTTTGAATATGTTTGATGTTGATAAACGAAATTTGGGCTAATAATTTATCTAATTAGGGGCAAATATTCTAGGGATTTTGAATAATTTTAAATCTCGAACATTTTGCGTTTCGGAAATTAGTGGCTTTCTCAAATTATGACATAGTCATAAAAACACCCAGTATTGTACATTCTGTAATGCTGTGAATTAATAACTACAGTAATGTCTATGAATGTATAAATATTTGTTTCGCATGATAAATATGAATCTTCGATTTTATGAAAATAAAAGTGTTTTTCCTTAGAATAAGGTTTTAAACTTAATTTACACATGTATTATGGTGGTATATGCTACATTTTCTCCTTTTAAATTAAAAAAAGTTAGTATGTTAACTCGTCCCTCTATTCCCCAAAATAACTTTCAAAAATAAATTTGTACAAAGCTTATATGTACCTAATTGTAAATAATTAGTAAACCTTATCCATTCTCAAGACAAAGCTTACAGAAAAATGTTGGGACGAGCTTAAGGTTTTATTTTGCCTGTAATTGACATTTGAATTTAACGGTGTATATAGAGGGTGTCTTGTTTATACTTAAAAAAGAACAGGGGAGTGAATTCCTCTTAAGAGAAATAGTGGGGGTTGTTCATTTAACATTTCTATCATTTAAGTTGCATTTCAGGGGGTGTTAAAATTATTATTTTTTCATTTTCTTCTTAATTTTTAAATTTACTAAAGATAAAGCCATAAGGAAAATGTGGAAACCATTTTATTTCTAATAGCAGTGGCGTGGATGCAGATAATTTAAAGGAAAATATGTTGTCAACATCTTTTAAACATCCTTTTAATTTTGCAAAACTAAAAATAATGCAAAAAATATATACTATTTGAATATCAATAGGATTCCCAAAATTACAAATTAAAATATATTCAGATTAGGTGACCTAGCAGGCCATTTTACAGTTACATCTTGCCTATGCAATCTATCATCCAGCAAACCGGTTATTAAGGAACTTCTACTCAGTTTGAGTACACCATGCATAAAGCGTAGGCCTCTTTTAATATTCAAGGGCACATCTAATAGATCTGACAATTTATTTAAAAAAATTAAGATACTGAACACATTTAAATGTGACGGCAGCTCAACAGTCCCTAATAAATGATCAATGATAATTCCAGCTCATACATTAATAGCAAATTGAGGCCAGGAATGGTACACAATTGTTGCTTTTGGATTATCGCCACTCCATTCATGACTATTATGTAGATGTATTACTCCATTTTTTTTTATAAAATATGACATCAGTAAATAGGACTGTGTTGCAGAAATTATTTTCGTTTTGTTTATTTCTGAACCAATTACAAAAATGTAGTCTAGCATTGTTATTCTGGGCAAAATTTGTGACTCTTATTAGGTGATAGGTTCATATTATTGTTCTCTTATTGTTCGGTGTAGTTTAAAAAATTGAATTTAACAGCAATTCTTACACTTTCCTGTGGAATTTCTTCAACAATATTTAAAGCGGCTTCTTGCTCGTCTACAGTATTAACATACCATGAACAAGCGCTCTGGTGTGAGATAAAAATTACTTTTTTCTCGAAACCTTCAGTCGATTGCAAGAAAATTACGGAGATGAGGAATTTGTCAACAAGGAAACATTTCAACATATCACATCGTTAATGCTAAAAAATTACGTCTACAATCACAATATACCAAATACGTGTCAGCCAAATCATTTAAGGAGGTTTATCTAATATGTAATTGACAAACAAATATTCATAAAACAATTAATACAAGTTTATTAATATGAAGAAAATCCTCAAAAAAATTATGACTAGTTTGAATATCTAAGAGACGAGATATTAATAAAATAATTTTTCATGATTTGGTACAGACTGCAGATTTTTTTGGTCTTTCCACTTAGAATGCGCAACAATTAACTTAACCTTCATTATGCGTGATAGCGACAACTCCGCAGTTCTCGACGTAGCGTATTATTTGAAATTCGCAGGTGTGACATTATGATCGAACGCGAGCGAGCGAACACTGAATCGAGCCTAGTGCAACATTGCCAAATCTAAAGGCTTACTACTTTAATCATTAGCGAATCTACAGAAATTCTCATTTGACTTTAGAAGGACCCGATAAACCTCCTTAAACTACACCGATTGTACGACAGTGCTAAAAAGGATTGAAGTGGTCCTGATATCTTGTGAAAGTTAAAAAATATGTTGTCAAATTATATTGAATCATATGTACAGCTTTCCGCGAGCAAAGAGCTTTTGCTTAATTTTTCTTGAAAAAAGTACATCCTATCGATTTTCTACTAAGCAACCTTTTTTTTATATCATTTTTTGGGATTTGCAAAGCCGTTATAATTATACCCCTCAAATTACCCACATCCATGCCACTGCTGTTGGGAATATAATGATTTGTACTTTTTTCTTAAGACGTAGTTGATATTTGTGAACTAGTTTTAACAATCTTCTGCCGATTTAAAGATAATTAAGAAAAACCTTCAGCAAAGTAACAACTTTAACATTCTGCATCTTGGAAATGTAATTTTAATGAGAAAAATGTTGTATGAACTTACCCACACAATTTTACCCAATTTTTTTAAGTATACACATACTTAATCTGTGACCTGAGCATTGAAGAGAAGGAATATAAAATGGAAAAATCCATTCACTTATTATATGCGATTCAAAGATGAATTAGAGGCAAAATAAAAGTAAATGTTTGATCCAAGGGACTAACCCGTTCTCCCAGTAAGACATTTAGGTATAAAGACACAAGACTGCATCACTCTCTGGTCTACTAGATAGTTACATATACATGTTTAATATAGTGGCTTAGTGCCTTGTGCGATTTTTATGTTGTGTTAACAGTATGACAAGCAAGGCGAAACCTACACCAATACGTTAAAGTACCTGAACTGGGGATTTACCGGCATGTTCACGGTGGAATGCCTCCTCAAGATCCTAGCCTTTGGCGTGCGGGTAAGAATAACAACTAGGAACTCCTTAAATACCAGATAAAAATTAACGTGTTGTATGCCATTATTTTTCTTGAAATCTAAATCGATGCTACGATTGCTTATTGCCACTCTTTTAGTATCATTATGTTATGGATTTAAATCCCTTGGAATTATCGTTTTTTTAACAGATAATATTCTAAACTAATTCTTTTAACGTAGACTTGAATTTAAAATTTTGATTTTTTTCAAAATTAAGGATTCCCATACCTTTTTGTTTAAAAAAAAAACTTAAAAATTTTTTGAAATAATATGGTCTAGCCAATGGTGTAGCTTCCCAGAATAAAAATAAAGTGATTTGCATCAAGTTGTCTATTCTCGGTTTGTTAAATTAACATTGGCCATTTGTTTTTTGCCTGCCTAGCACTATGTTGTCATATCACATCAGGTGGACTGATAGTATGTTGTCAATGCCAGGGGTCATTGACACTGGTATTCATAAACTAAACACAGTGCTTTATTCAACTCTACGAGATTAGTAAGTATTTATGTGTATTTAAAAAAAAAACATTGCAGGATACTATTCTTGGGAGCATGTACTATTACACCTAAAAAGAAGGTAACTTGATCTAATCGGTTTATTTTCAATCAAGCAAGCTATCTTTGAAGTATGACCTATTCATTTCTAGACATATAATTTTTAATAGAAATAGAAGTAGCTATTATAGGTATTTTATATCTGTATAAAATACATTTGAATCTATAATATAAGCGAAAAATAATATTAGTAGGCAATAAGGAAGCAAATGAAAATAGTGGTGCATACTACAAGAACTTAAAACGAATGTATATAGTAAAAAAAAGAGAGTTCGATTGAATACTATGAAAAAAAAAACGTAATATTACTCTTACTACTAATAATTTTGTGAAAAAAATGTGAAATAAAAAATAAATACAAATAAAAGAAAATTATGCATCGTAATGATGGAGTAAGTGCATACATTCAAATATTTGGTGTTGTAATTAAAGGTATGTCAGCTGTCTAGCTTATACAGTGTAATGTTGAAATATGACCTCTTTAATTCCCACTACCTATCGCTGTGCTCATATGTAGTTTGTTTTATTCTGATAGTGTTACCCTCAGAGGAATATGTTTACTTATTCCTCTGAGATGTTGCCTCTATACAGTGCATTCCAGAAGTAATGCAAAAAATTCGTATTTTATTTTCTGTTGCATTTTCACAAAGACGCTAAAACACGTCAACTAGTAAATATGAATTGTCGTTTTGTCACTTTGCTTAAACTTTTTTGCGCTATGTTTCATGAACTTATGACGTCATCGACATTTTTTGTAAATCGCACTACCTAATTTTTTAAGCATAAAAGGATAGCCTTTTGGAGGGAAATGTGTTGATATAGGGTTTGGCCTACTTTACTTTGACAGATGCGAAAAAAAAACAATGATTGGAATGGACATGGTTTAAGATAACAACAAAAGTAGGTATCACAAACTGATGCAAGAACAGTGCCACAGCAAAAAAATAGGAATTTGTAGATGTTTTGTGTTTTGGTTGATTGTAGGTACATGTTTTTATGTATTGATATGTTGGCGTTTTTGGCGATAAGACGAACTTGGCATTGAATAATTGGCATACTTCATCATAACTCCGGATCCTATCTCCGTATCCAACCATAATTAGGAAATTATTTCTTTGTTTTGCACTTAAACGCAACACCATTGTAATATAAAGTTATGGTATTTGTAACTGTCATAATGATATGCGGCACTATCGTATTCGCTAACTGTCGTCTTTAAAACGATGCCTAGTCGGGTGAACCTACCCAATCTATATAAGACATGTACCTACAATCAACCAACACACAAAACATCTACAAATTCACATTTTTTGCTATAGCACTATTCTCGCATCAGTTTGTGATACCTACTTTTGTTATTATTTTAAACCATGTTTATTCCAATCGTTGGCTTTTTTTTTGCATCTGTCAAAGTAAAGTAGACGCATTTCCCTTCAAAAGGGCTATCCATTTATGCTTAAAAAATTAGGTAGTGCCATTTAAAAAAATGTCGATGACGTAATAGGTTTATGAAACATTGTGCAAAAAAGGTTTAAGCAACGTGACAAAACGACAATTCTTATTTACTAATTGACGTGTTTTAGCGTTTTTGTGAAAATACAACACAAAATAAAATACGAATTTTCGGCTTTACTTCTGGGATGCACTGTATATGAAAAATACTGGTGTAAGTCGTATGGGGTAGATTTACATCTCTACTAAAATAGAGCAAAGGTTTTAGAATAATTACTATGCAAAAATGAAAATTGCAGTAAGAGTATAAAAATTTGTCTTAAAATTTCAAAATTCAATGATATTTTTAATCCTTACCTTTGTACGTTTAATCGAACTATATTAAAAGGGTATTATAATTATTACAATTCGCCATTGTTTGTTTATAAAAGGTGTACTTTGATGTTTTTAAATTTTAGCAATTATTATTTATTGATGAATAATACACTTAACAACACAGTCCCTGTACAAAATCCCCTCGTATTCCACTGTCCCCTTTATGACTTGTCTTTAATGTGTAATCTCACTCTTGCTTGACATAAACGTATTGCATGGCTTCTAGCATCTCACTGAAGTTTTAAAGCATGCTGCTACATTGATACACAAACACGAGAAATAAATATAGGGTAAAACAAGATCTTTAAATGTATTTTTAAATCTATTTCTATGTACTTCTCCTTCGCAAATACAAAATGCAACATCTGTCTGATGCTTTTATCATTACTTATTGTCTTATTCGGCATTGAAATTGATCTGGGAAGTATAATGATGCTGCATCGCGATATTTGCGGATGGATAAAGATGTTTTTATATTTTTAAATGTGTTTTATCGGAATTCACTTGTCAAAAAAATGGTTCTGCCGACTTTTCCAAAGAAATTGAGGTAGGCCTTAATGCTTGTAGAGTAGAGCTATATTTTGAAGTTGTTTGTAGTACCATGAGTCGCCACCCTTGTTGTCAGACATCCTCGCAGCTATGAACATACTTTTTACATTTCTGTTCCTATGTGAGACTGTTTTGAAGTTAATCGCATTTGGTATAAAGGTAAAAACTACATAACACATATATTTATACATTATTAACATTTATAACAGCGTTGTACGAAACAGAAATGCCGTCTCTAGTTTTATTCTTTAATACGTTGGATACTGAGTCGATTCTTGTTTCTGTTTCATACAAATATAATAATTTTTTTATATATCACTATATGTTTTAAGTAAAAATGAGGAATCGATAGAATAGTTTACGTTTATTTTCTAGGTAAATGGCACGTAATTAGTGTTATTTTGTCATTTAGAGGAGTAGAGATATATCATGATTTTTTAATTTGCACTACACTTCCATCCATAGTTTTTCTTTTCTCATCTGTACTATAAAATCGTCACATTTTTTTCACAGGAAGTAGTTTAGCTACTAGTAGATCATTAGGGCTAAAGACTATAGTATTTATATTCTAGTAACTGTTTCTTTTTGACATGAAATTAGTTACTTACTAGAACATTTTCTTGCTTTTTTTAAATTAGAGGCATGTTCTCATATTTATTAAAAACATCCTTTTATCCTCTTCCACCTATATAATACTAAATAATTAGGTATAACATTAGAATCATTTACTAGATTGGAAGTCACTAGAGTATATATTTGTGCTCAATTTTTTTTTATAGGTATTATAGATACTTGTTCTTTAGATAAAATTGCAAACTTTCTTTTATTTAAAAAACTATTATTGAATTTTATTTAAATAAGAAAAATTTGTAAAAAAAATTCTTGAGATATTAGTTACTTTTTCGTCTTTTATTGTTAGTAAAGAATTTTAGAAAATTTGTATGTTCTGTTAGAAAACAGTAAATTAATCGAACACAATTTTTTTTTTTTTTTCAACACAATTCATTTTATATAATTTTTTGAATCGCAATTTTTGTCTATGTACTTTAATAAATTGTTGTTTTCTCTAGAATTTCTTCAAAGACCCTTGGAACGTGTTCGACTTTATAACAGTGATAGGAAGTATTGTAGATGCCTTGGTGGTGGAATTTGGAGTAAGTATTTCTTTTATCGTACATAAATTTCATATAAATAAATATAAAATTTTACTATATACAATTTACCACAGTAACACAATTTTAACACAGATTTATCGACGCCTGATCTGGAAGGTATAGAAATAATGATTAATGCAAAAATAAGGCACTATCGTGCACCGATGCATTTTGAATGTTTATGCACTTCTAACAAAAATGTTTCTTTTCTTTTCTTTCATTAAACTGTTTTATTTAAGGAAAGGGCAGCCCAATTAAATAAAGAAAGGGTAAGCGTTATTCATTATTCTATTCTACTGTATACTAAATTGTATTTAGGGATAGTGTTTAGCTGCGATAAAGTCAGTTCAGGATGAATTTCATATGTCACCTTGTAAATCTCAAAATGGCAAAAATAGAAATTAAGTCGATGTTAGTACCATGTTTAGTAAAGTTTTGATACAGAATACTTGAAAAAAATTACAATAGCTACTCTGCAAAAGTGATTTATGGAATTCGTTCATAAAATATCTAGACGAAAAGTTTTGTTAGGACCCTTTTTTGTAACTTAGAGACTGAGTTTACAGAAATCATAATTTTAGAAGAAGTAAAGATGTATTAGGCTCGGTATTGATTTGTTTAAGGTTAGTCAGCATGCAACAATTTTTTTTATAACTCCTTCCTCTGCATTTTCTTTATGTACTCATGACTTTTATAGAAAAATTAGATATAACTTATAATAAATAAATTAATGTACAAGTGTTATCAGTTTAAAACTGCAAAAGCAAAGTGCTTCGAATTATACTGGAAGAAATGTTTGAAATATTAGTGGGATGTTGAAAATGTTCTTGCTGTTTTTTCATGAAAATTAATGCTTTATTTATAAAAAAATGTCACTTTTCCATCTTTCTGGCATTTTAATTCCACTTTGGAAAAACGATACGTCTTTTGAGGCTTTCTAAGAGTCGTCCCATTTCTTTAGCATCGTCATAAGTATGAAAGTGCTGTACCATTTCTTCCCATTTAAGCGTTTTCGAGTAGCTCTTCACCAGTATTACAACATGTGGCTGAGCATTGTCATGCTGCAAAATCTCTTTGACGTGTCTCTGCTCGTATAGCGGCCGTGTTTCCTTCAATGTTTAGCTCAAACGCATCAGTTGTAGTCGGTAGCGATCGCCTGTGATGGTGTCATTTGATTTGAGCAGCTCATAATAATAATAATAATAATAAAGTCTTACCCCATGATTTTCTATGCTCAGGATTACCGTAGCGTATCCATTTTTCATCACCAGTTACTGTACTATGTAAAAAACCTTTCTTTGTTGGTCGAAGCTGCTGTTCACACGTGCAAAGACACGTTTGGCGTTTCTCAGCTTCAACTCCATGCCCCAGAGCATTTTTTATCTTCAACATCAAAATCATTATTTTTGAAGCGTCTAAACCAATGCATGTTGTTTGCGACAGAGCATGATCACCGTAAATCTCAAGTCTGTGTGCTTCATCTGCAGATTTCTTTTGAATAAAGTAGTACAGTAAAATTCCCCGCAAATACTTTTTTTCTGCACGAAGTTCGACAAGAAAAAAAAATTATTTACACTTCGGCGAAAAACCATACACTGAATTTCAAGCTTACATTCTGGTAACACCGTCTGTGGAAAGCAGCGAGAACTTATTCAACGTCTCTATATTTTCCAACTGTATTTTATTTCTGATTCTTTATTTCTTTAATCTCACAGGACAAAATTTCCTTAACCATCTCCTTTCATAGTTTTCATGAGCAATCTTTGTCTAATTTCAAGAAATCGAAGATTATTTCTTTCAAAAACTGTTATGAGTGCACACATGACATTTTTTTATAGACTAATTTCTTACCCTTTGATTCAAATCAAATTTGAAGGATTTTAGCTTTATTTTCATTTAATTCTTAATCTCACATTTTTTTCCTTACAAGTTATCACATGCTGACATTAAAGTGATGCGGTTTTAAACTGTACATACTTTTTGTAATATAATATTATTTTTTATATTTAATATGGTAAGTCGACCAATGAAATTTAGGAATCAAAACACTAGATGCCGTCTCGCACAAAGTCCCTGTCATCTTTATTTATACGACGAATAGAGCGACAGCGATTCTATGGGAATGTTGTCGTCTAATATTATTTTTCCTAAGTTTGACCGGTCATTACAACCACATTGAATATAAACAATGATAATAAAGATTAAAAATTTCAAAATACAAAAGTATTAAGTTGCTTGAAAAATTGTTTATTGAATAGAGTAGCATGCTAGTAAAGTTGATTTTGGAAGAAATGGAAAAATGTTTGGCTTTCGGTAAGTATTTTCACAAAAAGAACATGATACACTACAAAGAACACCGAATTGTACACATACACCATTTTTAATGTATATACAACGTAGCGTTTTAGCAATATTCAATTACATAATTCTCTAGCAAAATAAAATTAGATTAGATAAAAAGCTTTTTTATATGTTTCATTAATAAACGTAGCATAGATATATTTTTTTTAAGAAGTAGTTTATAAGATCCAAAAAAATAATTTATTATAGGCTTTGAATACAATTTTTTCCCGAAATGATTGTTCTTATTCGTATATCGTATTTTTCAGGAAAATTTCATAAACGTTGGATGTTTGAGGTTATTTCGTGCTGCACGGTTGATAAAATTACTTCGCCAAGGGTATACAATAAGAATATTGCTTTGGACTTTTGTCCAAAGTTTTAAAGCTCTTCCATACGTATGTTTACTCATTGCTATGCTGTTCTTTATATATGCCATTATCGGAATGCAGGTAAGTTTGAGTACAGATAATCTTCAAAAAATTACATTCTTCGTAATTCTTTATTTGTGGCCTTTTTATTTACTCTTTTTATTTCATTCTCTTACTAGTCCAGTCGGTATCTGTTTCCGGGTGGACGTTTTATATAGTAACGCTAATTTTTGTTGGAAATAGTTCTAAATATTATGTAAAATGATAATTGCGATATGTGCTCGCTGAAAAAGTTGTACAAAATTGTTAGTGCAAGAAAATGTAAAAAAAAAATTAAGGCACATTTTTCTCCCTTCTTTCATGTATAACTCGGAGAATATTACCATTAGAGAAAATAGTCAAAGGAAAAATTGTTTCGTTTTGAGATTCTCTTCAAAATAAAAGTGCTCCAAAATTTTTATGTGCATTATTGGTGCTGCAATACAGTATAGAAGTACAGAAGTTGTGCGAGTGAATTATGCTGCTCCGCTCGCATAGTCCCCACCCCCCCTCCTCTCTCTTTGACTCTGCTCAATTCCTGTGAAATGTATCAATCTTTTTTGCATCAGAACTGTTACAACACATTTCCGATTTAAACAAATTTTCATAGTTATAAAGTCTTTGCTGCAAACAATCAAAATCACATTTGATTGTTATTGTACAGTTCGTTTTGCCGTAAACTCACTTCAACTTTGAGCTTTCATATCTCGATGACGATTCATTGTATCAACAAGATCAAAAGTGAATTTTGTTCGTCAATCCTTCCTCTATTTGATCCTATAATTACATTTGAAGAATATGCAAATATGGTAGCTCAAGCTCTAAATGTTTATAAGTATTTTTTCAAAGAAATTTTTAAAAAATTCTAATTCTTGCTAAAATGGATAAAATCGAAAATTTTTAAATGGGGATTGATAGTTGAGACTCCAAAGGGTATGTATAAAAATTGGGAACTCAAAATAATCATTGGTTTTACCCTGAGAGAGAATTGAAAAATAAGTATAATTCTGTATTTTCTTAATTAACAATCGAATTTTGCAAAATCTACCTGGCCAATTTTGATGAAAAAATTTCTGCAATACTACCATACCATAAGTACTCAGAACCATACTTTTTATATGGCTGCTCTAAAGTCAAGGTCCGAAATAAATTCATGAAAAAAACATCTTTTTTTACACAAATTTTTTTTCGGTCTATACTGTATTGCAGCAACAATAATGCACGTAAAAATTTCAGACTACTTTTATTTTGAAGAGAATATCAAAACGAAACTTTTTTTCCTTTGACTATTTTCTCTAATGTCAATATTCTCCGAGATATACATGAAAGAAGGGAGAAAAATGCGCCTTTTTTATTTTTTTTTCATTTTCTTGCGCTAACAATTATGCACAACTTTTTCAGTGGGCGCATATTGTAATTATCATTTTACATAATATTTAGAACTATGTACTTCCAACAAAAATTAGCGTTACTATATGAATCATCCACACAACCTACTTTTAAAACAGATACCGACTGGACTATATTGGGTATTTCCGTTAATAATATAATTTTTACAAAAAATCAAACTGTTGCATTTGATTTTCAGTGAATTTTACAACTAAAGTTTTAATAAAAACAAAGAGGTTTTTGAAACATTAACTGTGTGATGTATTGCATTGATTGCTCTTCAGTGTGAAGGAAATATCTACTCGAATAAAAAGAGTAAAATGACATTTTTATTGGGCAAAAGTAGAGTTGTATTCTTTGTTCACGGTTTTTATTTGTAAAAAAGTTTATCATCAACAAAAAAGAAACAATATCTACATCATAATGCTCCATTCATTATTTTATTAATTTCCGACAATTGTAGGTTTTTGGGAATATTGCCGAACAGCCTACCGAGTCTATAAACAGACACAATAACTTTCGAAATTTCGTACAGGGATTAATGCTTTTATTTAGGTATGAAATTGTTACATCTCTTGAAACATGTTTCTTTAATAATCAATTATATTTAAGATGTGCGACTGGTGAAAATTGGCCCAGCATAATGTTATCCTGCATCAAGGGGAGACCTTGCGACCCGAAAACGGGAAAAGGAGAGAACCAGTGTGGGTCGAATCTAGCGTACGCGTACTTCGTATCTTTTATATTTTTGTGTTCATTTTTGGTAAGCGCTTCGTTAATACTCCGACACATTTCTTGTATTTTCCGATTTGCAGATGTTGAACCTGTTCGTTGCGGTCATCATGGACAATTTCGATTATTTAACCAGGGATTCTTCTATATTGGGGGCCCATCACTTGGACGAATTTGTGCGAATCTGGGCGGAATACGATCCGAACGCGACGTAAGTTTAAGCGTTTTCGTCCGTCATTAATTTATCGTTGGCTTTTCGTAGGGGAAAGATACATTATACGGAGATGTACGACATGTTGAAGAATATGGATCCCCCGCTCGGGTTCGGAAACAAGTGTCCGAACAGGCTGGCTTATAAGAAGCTGATCAGGATGAACATGCCTGTGGACGACGAGGGGAAGGTTAATTTTACGTCCACCTTGTTCGCTCTCATTAGGGAGAATCTCAACATTAAAATGAGATCAGGTAAACGATAATATAATTTTATTTCTAATTGATATACACTGCAGAGTGAACCTTAATATATATATATATATATAATTTTAATCAGCGATACAGTTTACTGTGTAGAACATACAGCTAATATTTTTTTTGCGGAAAAGTTAGGAATAAAGATGTAACGATTACCCTACTTTTGGATATTTTGTTGAGCTGTGTTAAATACGAATCCTCTAATTTGAGAGGAAGTAGCTGCCACCACCACAGCTGGTGTTTTGCCGGAGAAATCGCCGCCCTTCGGAGGGTAGGTGTCGTAGCCCTAAAAGGTTCTGGATTGAGCTCTAACAGAAACACCGTTTAGTACAGTTGAAAATTTAATACACACCCAAGTGAGAAATTTCTTGACAGAAAAAAACAACAAAATTAAAAATATCCTAGAAAGTAGACTTAATTCAGCTCCTTCGGTCCAGGGAAGCAGGTTGCAACCTCTGGCGCCCTTGAGTAATTTGACTTTCTTACCCTTCTGTGGAGCTCTCTAGACCAGCGGTCTGCAACTGACGGACCAGACCGGGGAAAGTAAAATACTAGACTGCCAAACATTTTATGAAAATATAAATTACTCAAATAAATTATTTAGAAAATATTTTATTAGCCACTTTGAATTTAGTGATTCTGAATTCATAATTGTAATCAGTGATCCAAGAAAGTTTCTATAAACAAATATTTGAGGATTATGAAGATCTTTTTAATTTTTTTGTCCGCCATATGGAATACGTCATTTTGAATTTCGTAATTCTGCCTTCAGATTTGTAATCAGAGACCCAAAAAACCCCACTACACAAAAATTCATGCATTTTAGAGACATTTTTATTCTTTTGTCCGCCACTTAGAATCCGCCATTTTGAATTTCGCGATTTAGAGCCCAGATTCGTAATCATAGACCCAAAAAACCCCATTACAAAAAAATTCATGCTTTTTGAAGACATTTCATTTACTTGTCCGCCATATTGGATCCGCCATTTTGAATTTCGTGATTCTGAGACCAGGTTCGTGATCAGCGACCCAAAAAACTCTTCATATGTAAGATTAATAGGAATTGAATGTCTTTCGCATCTCTAAGCTCTTGTTGAGAACCGCTGACTTTACTGAGAAATTTGTGACTAGCATAGATGTTGATCTATGCAGGGTTGTCGGTGTTAATACAGAACTCTTAAGGGGTAACACCACCCTAGTACCCAAAAAACGCCTAACTTTGACAATTTTTCTTCGGGAGTATATTAAAGAGAATGAGAATTCTTTTTAGAGGGGTTATTCAACTTATATTTAAGTATAAAAAAGTATTTTTTTTTACTATTATTTTTATACAAAATGTCTGCGAGAGAGCCAATCTTTGAAATGACCTTTTTAGAAAGCGCCTCCAGGAGCGAACGAATTCGTGCAATTTTAGACCTAGAACAAATATTCCAAGATATTTATTATCTTTGTACTATTGGCTGTAGAAGTACGTAGGATTTTTTTTAAATCAAATACTGTAAAAATGGTGCACTATTGAAACAAAAGTTAGATTTTTTGACAAAAAATAAGCAGTTAATTGTTAAGAAAATAAAAAGTTCATATCGAAACAAAAATTCTCTACCTACTTCTATAGAGAATCTAATTGTGGAGCTACTGTCAAAATTTCAAAGTGATCCGTACAACCATGTGAAGTAATTAATTCACCAAAACTGAAAAAAAATAGTTCCGAGGAAAATGCGATGCCTGCACCATACACAAAACAGAGAATGCAAAGGAAAAATATGACCTACATGTAACATGACTACTTATTATCCCGAAAGTAACAAGCAGTAGAAAAGTAATGAATTAGAGCACCGCACATAAGTGATTGATCGCGCTAAATAGGAGCTCCGAGGCCCTGCTGGAAAATCTTTGGCAGGGCCTCTTAAATTTTTTTTTTTACTATAAAACCAATTGCATATTGTTTTTATGGTATTAAAGCATTGTTTGAACAAAAAAAAACATTTTTTCAAAATTCAATAGTGACGTCACCTTTATATGAATTAAAAATAATCATAATCATTTTTTAGACGGACTACCAGAAACTTTGAAGTATCTTCATAAAAATGTTTATGGTTTCTTTCTACCATTACCGTTCCTGTTTTCATCAACAAACTGTTTCTGTCTAAATTCTAGCCGATGAAATGGACCAAGCCGACGATGAGTTGAAAGAGACAATCAAGAACATTTGGCCGCTTCAGGCCAAGAACATGGTGGACTTACTAGTTCCCCCAAACGATCAGCTGAACATGGGAAAAGTGACGGTCGGGAAAATATACGCCGGCCTGCTGATCCTGGAGAGCTGGCGTAGCACCAGATTCGGCCAAGTGGAGCCCACCGGGTTGCCGGTAAGCAGAAAGATAAACGAACACGCCCTCTATCACACTTATACTCTACAGAATCACAGATATGACAGGCAGAACATTTTTACAAAAATGCAATCACACTCATCTCTTTCGATACTCTTGAATTACTTGTGGCCATTCGTTGTTCAAAGTTCGATTGTTTAAATGTGTTTGTAGGTGTTGTAAATATTTTTTTTACCCTTTCTTTTATAGGTGTACGATGGTTTTTCTTGTTCTAGTTATTTATGTTTTTACATTTTATTCTTCTTAACATGTTTTCTTTTTTTTATTACAGGCCTTAACACATATTTTAAATTTTATCACTTTAAATCCAAATTAAATTATTCCCGCAGCGAAATATTCTAAACTTTTTAATCTTATTAAATTTAAAATATTTAAAAAGACATTAAACAACATCTGATTAATATTTCTTGCTAAATATGTACTTTTTGTTTTGCCTCTTAAAGTTCCGTATTTTAAATTACGTTCTGCTTATTAAAAAATGTTAAGAATAAAATGTTCAAACAGAATGCGAAAAACTTATAGATTAGAGATTATACTAATATGTTTAGTTCATGTTGTAAACAGATATAAGAAGTAGGACACACTATCGTTGTTTAGTAGTTCAATGGTTCCCCAATCACATATTACAACATTTACGTAGAAAACCCTATTTTATTTACATTCGAACATTTCCAAAATCTTAAGTATTACATGTAATTTTTTGGATGAAAAACTCTAAATCTCGTTTTAAAGCAGGGAAACGTTTTATGGAAATGAAAGAAAATATCTTTTACTTTTCTGGAATTTTCTTTATTTGGGTTAAAAATTTCTTAAAACGTAGTAATACCTCTTAATCTTCCTAATCTACTTAATACTAGTGAGAGAGAGAGAATCTTATCGTCCGAAAAATTCTTAGTTATACTTTAGCGTATTATAAATGAGAAACAAGGCACAGAGTCACACAGAAGTTTTATCAGACACATAATAGTGCCCTATAATTTTGTACATTGTTTTCAGGGATTTGGAAACAGTCCTACAGCAAATACCGCGGTAGTATATCATTTTCCCATTTTATTTCTCACTTTTTTCTTTTTTTATATTTAGAAAATGTTTTTAAAATTCTCATTCATAGTACAGTCCTGAGAGTAGATAGTTTTTTTTTAGAAATTACTCGTTTAGCAGCATATTGTGCCTGTCTCGAGTTCAGATTTATAAAAAAAAAAGTGTATTAAAATCAGTTACAGCCCTTTGTCATTTATATGTCAATTATTATCACTATTTTCTCCCGTATTGTTAAATGTGTTCAGAAGTTACTTCAAAAACATAAAAATACAAAATTAATAACATAACCTCAAAACAAACTTGTACTCGAAAAATAAACAGATGGCGCTGTTTTTAGGTGCATTTATAGAGAAAATAAGTCACGATCTTGAATATCATGGATGTGATTTGTATTTTATATTCATATTTGTATTATGATGCCCACCTCAGATTTTCATAGCTCCTTCAGTTTTTGATATAAGTCCATTACATTTGCAGACAAATCAAAATATTTAGTAGCTGTAATCATTCAGAAATCATTCCAGGTAAAAAATGTGAATGCTGAAGATTAATTTGTACCCTGTTTTAGAGACTTTAGCTTTGAAATTGCCATCACGTGAGATAAAATTATTTTTAGGAAAGATAGAGTAATTTGTCACACGAGTTGTTGTGTATAGTCCAACCAAATTATACACTTGGAGAAAAAAAAAATTGTTACATGGATTTTTATAAGTGGAAATGGTAAAGGGGCTTGCAATAAACGTAAAAAAAATAAATGCGTGAGCAGGAGTGGCGGAGGGTTGATTTGTGGGGTTGAAAAGTTGTGAAAAATTTAGAAGTTTCACATTTTTTTTTTCTTTTCTTAATAAATTCCTTTCATCGTAAAAAGTCAATTGCCACATAAATTTAAAATTTTTAATTAATAGTTTTCCTATAAAAAAATATATAAATTCAAAATAATTCTCTATGCACTAAAACGCAGTCTTAAACAAAGACGGCTGACTCTTATGTTACGATCCGGTATCGGTCCAAATTAAACGAGTCATGTTCTGTAGTCTGTCTCACTCTGACTCAAGTGTTTATGCAAACTACGTGTGCCGGATAGATTTTATATTATTTACTTTTACTTAATACAATATTGTTAATTATTTTAAAAATTGTACATTCTTCTATGGCTACAGAACAAATCTGTAATGACAGTTCAAAAACATGCTCAAAAATGCAAAAAAATAAAAAATGAATTGCAACAATGAATTTTTCAGTAATTGTTGATAATGTGTTTAAATTAAAAAAAAAATCAATTGTACGGAAAAAAATACAAAAGAAACTGAGTCTCATTGTTTGACCCAAAACTTTATTTTTGTACAGTATTGCTATAAACATCTATGTCGAATTACAAATGTAAAAATGATAAAATTATCTCTGGATGATTTGAGATATCAGCAATACAAAGTATTAACTGCAAAGTCTACTTTTAAATTAGAAAAATTACCACCAACTGTTGGAGCAGCTACACAACACTCCTATAGAGCAGCTTCAAACGTGGCTTGGAAACAAAATAACTGCAACCAAGTAGGGCTGGAAAGAAGTAATTGCGAGTAATTCCAGTTGTGATGGTAATAGATGCGGGTGTCGAAAATTGTTTGAACGTTGACAAAATTTCGGAAAATTTCAGTGATTCCAAAGACATTTCACATGAAATCGAGCAGCCAAGTCTGCTTGAACCTGGAAAATCAATTAACCGAAGAATTAAATGATATCAAAGAAACATTTGAAGATCAGGAAAAAACCCAGTCTAATGAAGGATAGGACGGTGAAGATCAAGTTAGAAAGTTGAGAAAAAGATTAGCCTAATATTATTTAATTGTAAATATCCATTGTAAAAATTTTGAAAGCAAAAATACGAATTTTAAATAATTTAATTATATCTATGAATTCATCAAAATCTTTAAAAAATAAGTAGGTACACTAATCAATCCTACGGAAAAAGAATTATTATTTATTTTATTTATTCATTATTCGACTTAGATGTTTATAGCAATACTATACAAAAATAAAGTTTAGGTCAAACAATGAGAAACAGATTTTTTGTATTTTTTTTCTGTACAATTGAATGGTGTAATCAGTTTTTGAATTTTTTTAAATTTAAACAAATTATCAACAATTACTGAAAAATTCGTTGTTGCGTCATTTTTTATTTTTTTATTGTGCATTTTTGAGCATGCTTTTGAACTGTCATTACAGATTTTTTTATTTCACCAAAAAGTATATGTCAAAACGAAAAAATTATCATTCTTTAAAAAAACGTGTTTCAGATTGGAAAAAATGAATATCTCGGAAACATCTTCATTTTTTTATCTAAAAAAATTTGTGCTTATTTATGACACAGAAAGGTATATTTTTACTAAGTTTCGTCAAAATTAAATTATTTTTGCGGAAATGAGAAATAAAAAACGAAAAATCAGAAAAAACTCATTTTTCACATTTTTTTCAAAAATTTTAAGGTTGTTTTAAAAAGTGATCTCTACAAAAGTTGTAAATTTTTGCATTATCTACAACTTTTGTATTGGATACTTATATTTTTGACGTCAACTTTTGCCAGAAATCCATTGATACAATTTTTCACAACTTTTCAATCCCCCAAATCAACCCTGCGCCACCCCTGCTCGCGCATTTATTTTTTTTTCGTTCATCATAAGCCCCTTTACCATTTCCACTTATAAAAGTCCAGGTAACAATTTTCTTTTTTTTCCCTCTAAATGAGTTATTTCAATCAATCTAGTATCTTTAATTTTAAAACAAGAAGTATCAATTTCGAGAGTTTCTCTGTGACAGTCACTTTGCATTAATATAATAGATGTCGCCCCTCTTCATTGTTAAATTTGTAAGAACTAGAGGAAGATATTTTCACTTTCTACACATTTTTCTGAAAAAAAAATAACCATCAATGTCATTAAATATGCGAAAGTACGACACTTTTTTAACATTTTATAAATCTGAACTTTACTGAATTTGAGATGATTGATTTCATCGTTAATATCGTTTTGTCCATTTGTCCAGTGTATTTTACACATTATAATTTTGTAAACTCTTGAGGTCTGCATTTTTTTACTGTTCTGCAGTTCGATCTATGTCTGTATTTTGTCTATTTCTTCGTATTTATACAACTGTTGCATGTTTTTTTGAATTTATTCACGTTCCTATTTCTTCGTTTGAAGCATGAGTAATGCAAATAGAGCAATGTTAAATGATTGGCCAGTTCGGTATTTATTATTAATTTCTTAATTGAAAACGTTTATTTACTAATAACGTCTTTTTGTAGAGTTTTCTTAACTTCCGTTTCCCCTACATTAATATTTTTTAAATAATAATTGGTAGATGTTTTGTTACCATTTCGCTATTTTCCATTATAATCAGAAATTTATATTCTAGGGGAAAGTTGTGCATAGGAAAAGTTGGTATGTTTTAAAATTTTATTTGTATTGTAAATTCCTCATATCCGTTCTTCTATTTTGGGACATGCTTTAATTGCGATGGGTAAGTAAGGTAATTGCCAACTTTTTCTGAAAAACTTTCTTCTATGTCTTTAAAAAAAGTGTATCTGGAAAAATAAAGTAAAAAAATGCCATTAATTCAGAAAAACAACATTCGTTTCCTAAACGCTATTTACAGGGTGTTGCTTTGAATGGGTTAACAATTACACAGGCTACCTCTGACCTTTACAAACATATAAGTCTGTTTTCTTAAATTTCGTCATGAACAAAGGATTTTGTTAATTTTTTTCGGGAGTTGCATGCGCATACCCAATCAGGTTCTATGGCATGTGTTGTTTTCAGTAAAAAAATGCAATAGAATGAAGTGGTGATGTATTCGGTCATATCTGTTCCGCCAAATTTTTTTCTTTTGGCCACCTAGTATCTTGTCATATCATATCAGGTGAATTAATATTATGTAGTTATTTAAACTAGGTGTTAGAGGTCATTGACACTGAGATTCATGAACTAAACACAGTGCTTTTAGTAATATTTATTAAAAACTAAGACTGTAAATATCTTTATTTTTTATAATGTTTTTGTAATGACTACCTATTTGATTAAAAAAGAGTTTAGATTAGTGGTCTAGGAAACATATTGTTGCTCTTTAAAAACTGTGAATCCTAATTTAAAGTAACACCTTGTGTAAAGTTCAGAAGCAAAAATTTTGCAGAAGTATTCAAAAAAGAATTAAAAACTTGCTTTATTTTTTGCGAGGTACGGAAACTACTATTATTTATTCTTATATTATAAACATTGCTCTGCCATATAATAGAGGTAGGCTGGTGCTCTTTCTTATTAAGTAATTTCTCTAGTACCGTCATTTTTTGCATGTTTTTACTGTATCTCTATAGGCTGTGTACTTCTCTTTCACATTTTTTGGGCCACATTTTCATTGAATTCTCTAGATATTTTCAATATTAGCACTAGACATTTTATTAGTTAGAAGACAAATTCTGTATAACAATAAATAGGAAGTGATTATAAGTGGATTTCATAGTGGCTAATAAGATTGCTAAATGGTTTAAGTAAAAGTTATTTCTACAAAACAGAAAGCGTCCTTTTTTGACTGCCTTATGGATATGGCCGGCCATCTCGGCGGGAGTAGAGCCGGCTCCCTGAGCTTAGAAGGGGCCCCTCTAATGGGGGGACAGGAGCACAGCGATACTCACCTGAATTTGCCCGAAGATAGCTCGCTCGTTACTCTGGCGCGGAGGAACACCAAAAGAAATCGATCGATAAGGTAGGGACTCTTGAATTAGCAAAATTTTAACATTTTCATTTAATTTAATATTAATTTAAAGTAGATGCATACAGGGTGATTTATTTCAAATTACAAATTCAGTAATCATGAAAACTGATTGACAGTTATTAATTTAAAGAAAAAAAAAACAGTTGCATTGCAATGAAAATCAAGCCAAAGCTACAAAATGTGGTGACGAGAAAATGTCCAAACAAAGTTTGCTTATGATTTAATAATTCGTAATGTCTCCTTTGGCCTTTTTAACAGTGCCAATTCTTTTTGGCATAGTTTCGACTAACGATCTACAAAACTCCATAGTGAGAAATCACCAGATCTCATAGATTTTTCTTTTGAGATCAGGAATTGTCCTTTAGGGATTGGTCTGCAAGGACTTCTTCATATAGTGTTATAGTGTTTCAATGACATTTAGGCTAGGACTGCTTGACCCCAACCTTAAGAGTTTAATATCATTGTCTGCAAACCATTTTTTTGTAAGTTTGGCCATATAACAGAGGAAGCACCGTTTTGTTTGAAAATAAAATTTCTGTTGCCAAATTGTTCTGATACTGTAGGCAGTAAGTTACTGTTGAAGATATCCCTATATCTATCTGCATTAACGGTATCGTTAATAAACTCTATTCTCCCTATCCCCTTTGCCAACATGTATCACCAGATCATGACTGTGGAAATTTTACTGTAAGTTTTAAGTAGATTTAGTGAAACACTTCCCTTGTCATTCATACCATACGCTTATGAAAATCCCCAACACACATGTCAAACTTGGACTCATTACTGAACATTCAAGTCTTCACTTATCCAAGTAGCTTTCGATTTAGTCCAAGCTAAATGCTTCTGTTCCGTTAGCAATGGTACTTCTTTTGCCTTGATGGAAACAGAATTATGATTTAGTTTTCGATGTTAATAATTATTGCCCCTAAAGCCACTTTACCTTAAAAAATCGTAACTAGAATTGTGTATCCACTGACAACAACATTCCTTCAATATGTTTTTTGGTTCCACATCACTGTAATTTCTGTCACAGTAGTCCATATTTGATGCTTGCAGATGTTAACAAGAGGTGTTTGTACCATTTTTGTTATTTTTGGCGGTCAACCAGAACTCTTTCCACGAATGTCTAGATATCTCAGTAGGTTTTGATTCCAATTGTGGATTTTGGAGTATTCAATTTTCTTCATGGATTTCTCTCATTCATATTGTTTGAACACAAATATTGTCATAGTTTTCTACAGTCTTGTGAAAATGTCACAAACACTGACAGACACGAATTATAATCACGGACAATTTTTATTGTCATAAACTTCCTTAGATTTTGAAGCAAACAGTGTTCCGTCAGAATATTTAGTTAGCGAATTAAGCAAAATATTACTGTTGTAAAGAGTTTACCCATCAGATCAAAACATTAAAATACCTAAACAGGTTGTAAAATGAAGGTATTAATGTGGAATTTGTTTATTCTAAGGTTTGACATTATTAAGTGTTACTGTCAAAATTATGGCTAGTCCGAATTAGCTGTTAAGACTCATAGTACTTCTACGGGTGTTGGAAATTAGGATACAAAAGAATAGAATTAATGAGCCAGACTGCCCTGAAATTTTATAGGTGGTCTTTTTACATGTACCTTTAAAATATTGCCAGGTTCTAGTAAATCATCCTGTAACGGTAGAAACAACCAAATAATTTTTAACAACTTTTTTGGATTTTTTCAATATAAAAATGTATTTTTTTTGGAAACTGTCTTAAAATGTTAACATTTTAATTGTTTTATAAGTATCAAGAGTATGAAATATTTTTTTAATTGAACACTATACAACTTTCAGAGGCAATTATTCTTTACTTAAATTCATTCATTTCACTTTTCATTTTTTATACAAGGTGTCTCATTAAGGTCGACGAGATATGATATTAGGGAAAGTATAGGCACTAGAACTTCGGGAATAACATTTTGATTAATAAATCAACCAAGAGAAATTGCTGGAAATAGTTTTCAAGTTTGTAACTCGGCCGCTAAGGGGCGTAATCTACATACCAAAACATGGAGTAGAATTTTTCTCAGAAATGTTTCCTATTCAGGTATATTAAATTAAATACATAGTACAAATATGGATAGCGGGATTCATTGCGCATAACCTTTGTTATTGACACGCAGCGAAGTTTAAATTCCTGTATTGAAAATAATACTATGTATTTCAAGCATTTATAAACATCTTTACTTTTGTTAAAATTTAATTGTTCTTTCGTTATATAATATCAATATATGTTTGTTATTATTTTCAAGATTGTTATTGATTCACTCATTTGCGTGGGTTTAGGTAGGTTCTTTTATAGAGGCATTTTGTTTTGGTAATTAAATATCTTTTCAATAGCGTCATGTTTCTCAATTCATTATCATTATTTATTTTTTGCTCACTAATTTGTGAATAACTTGATAACAAAAAAAGATATCGAACCCTTTTTGGTGTCAAAATGTAGCTATTTTTATGCTCTCCAAACTAATCTATAAAAAGCTTTGTCCTGCTATTTCACGTTTTTAAGAAAACGTGAAACAACCCGAACTTGGAACAAATAGCGCCAATAAATAAACAACTTTGTTAAAAAATTCAAACTTATACTATGTTCATCAATTTCTTGTGCTGAATTGCTGAATTCATTTTGTAAAGAAAACTATAGCATTAAATTTAAAATTTTTAGAAAAATCTATAAAATGGTATTCTTTTGAAATAACGCCATCTATAGGTTTCCATATTGAAGTAAATGACATTACGCATTCACCACGAAATAAAGCATGAAAAAACCTTTCCAACGAGGTATAACACTATGGGCTTTTCTTGAGCCAATCCTTAAAAAAATGCATTTTTCTGATCAGACATTAGGGGTTTCCCCACTCTTTCTGTCAATAACAAGAGATGCGCAATGAATCCGGCTATCCATATTTGTACTATTTAATATACCTGAATAGAAAACATTTCTGAGAAAAATTCAACTCTATGTTTTGGTATGTAGATTGCGCCCCCTAACGGCCGAGCTACGAACTTGAAAACTATTTCCAACGATTTTGTCTGATTTCTATGATTACTTACTGCATAATATTATCTTATCAATATATATTTCTACTATAAATGCCAAATTAACATTTTTTAACAATATTTTGAAGCAGTTTTCAAAAAACAATGTTTAATAGACAGTTGTGAAGTCGCTTTTACATTCTTGAATGGTTTTCTTACTCACTGGCGCTCGCAAAAATACTCTTCATTCTTAAATAAAAAAGCGATACTTCACAATCAAACATAACCGTTGTGATATATCTCGATTTTCTCTTTGTTGCAGGAGCAAAAAGGTGAAAACAAACTCAGATTTGGTGGTAAACTGTATTTTTGTTATAGACTAGTATTAGGTTTTTTTTTTAAAAAACAATATAGAATCAAGTCAAGTCATAATGTTTGGATGTTCATTTTACAGATGCAGAAATATGATGTTATAGTCTTAGAAAACTTCTAGAAGGTATATTTTAGAATAGACATATATAAATCTCTAGTTGGATTTTACCAGAACACACAGAACTAAATATAAAGATAGTTTATAGGTCTCTTAGCGATAAATGATAGTCCCAAAACATTGCATTTATGTGCACGTTTATTATTATAACTATTAGTATATGCATCAGTTACTCTTTAGTTATCACATTTGACATGTTACTAGGGATACATACATAAAATGAATGTTAAATACCTTCTTAAAATCTATTAACCAAAGATCGGGTTAAATCTGGTGACACTAAAATAATATACTAACCAAAAAAAAAAACTAGTTTTAACATCTAGGTAAAGTTAAAAGGGTTTGACTTGCACACGGTTTATGTGTATAATTTTTATATAGCACTACTGCATGTCTCTTTTTTGAGGATTTTTTGCATGATTTTTAACTCTATGTGTTGCATTGAACAGGACCTGTTCTATAAATGGGACTGTTAGTTTTTTACATATTTTTTATTACTAGTGCTACATACCATCATATACAGAGCGTTCTAATTATAATCCTGTTTTAAATAAATCTCTTCCTAAGGCGATGGAGTTACAAGATGTCATGGGCTCCCGCAGGCCGTCTTGCGAAAGTATAGGCGATCAGCAGCATTTACACCCATCAGGTTATGTAAACTCTCATCGACAGAGCCCTAGTCTTCGGTAAGTGAAATATCCGCTATGAAAATTAAGTGATGACCTCTTTGTTTTTTTATGTATAATACACTTCTGGTGCATTTCTTGCAGATGTGCGAAAAGTAGTTCAAATGTTCCTATCCTCTAACTTATGTGATCATTTGGGAATCCTATATATTTTCTAATTTCATCTATATTTTCATTTAATTGTAAATTTTACACATTTCAAAGATGAAAAATATCTAGGGCATGCCATTTAACAAAAACATTCTTGGATTATGATAAAAAAATTACTGCAAATTATAGAAAAATGTTGAAAAAACTTAATAAAGGTCTTACAAAAATAAAAATGTTAGTAATAAAAAATACTCAAAATTAAAAAAAAATGTCAAAATGAGGAACATTCGGTTACTCTCAAAGAAATCAAGGTGAATAATTTTAATTTTTTAATTTTTCTTGAAAATCGAGGCTGAAGCATTTGAACAACATTTTCTCTATCTCCTCAAGAAATACCAGAAATTCTAATTACAATGCAGGCTTTGAGGTAAAAAATGTACCTCTAGAGTAGAGGCCTTTTCTGCGTATACAAAAATTAAAGAAGAGATAACATTTAATTCTCATAAAATACATGTAAAAATATTTAAAGTATGCCATATATTTTTTGTGTGTAGTGTGTAGACATCTGTATACTTTCATTTGAATGTAAGTGTTTCACAGATGTCAATAATTGAAAAATATTTAGCGCCCATTTAACAAAAAAGTACTTAGATTGTAATAAAAAAATGCCGGTAGAAAAATGTCCTGAATAAAAAAAATCTGTCAAAACTAAAAAAAATTGATAGTAGATAACTTACGAGAAATGCTTGATTCTACTAATCAAATCGAGCCTGGGACATTTGATCTACTTTTTATCTATCTCCTCAAGAAATACCAGAAACTCCAATACTGTTAGAATTAGTTTATTCTATACATACAAGGCATACATGGGGTAAAAAATGTATCTCTAGTGAATTTCTCTCCATATAATGGAATTAAAAAGGGATAGCATTTAATGCTCAATACATAGAAAATATAAATTATAGAAATTATACGTAGTTAATGTGCACACCATGTATACTTTAATTTAGATGTAAATTTTAAACTGATTTCATAAATTGTCGTATATGTATTTAGATTATAATAGAAAAAACTTAATTTACAGAAAAATATCATAAAATCTTAAGAAAAAACCTTGCAAAAATTATAAAAAATTAATAAAAAAGTTTGAAATTATTTAAAAAACGTCTAAAAATGGGAAATGCTCACAAATCAAGGCATTGAGAAACTTTTGGCATTCAATTTTCTTCGAAAATCGATATCGGGATATTTGACCTACTTTTTATTTTCTCAAATAATATATGAAACTGCTCAATAGTACTAAAAATTGCGCACCCTATGAGACATTTTGAGGTAAAAAATGTATCTTTAGCAAGGACGTACTTCTAAATTATGCGCCTTGGGCGAATGTGATCGGCCGCCCCTCAGGAACAGGTCGCCCCGGGCAGTCGCCTCCTACACCCTTAGGAAAATACATCCCTGATCTTTAGTGTATATTTCTTCATGTAATAAAATTAAAGGAGAGATAACATTTAATCTGTATACATGTAGTATTTACAATTACTAAGAATTTTTTCCAATTTAGATAGTTTCGTGTTAATATACATCGTAACTATGTACTTCAATAAATGTCTCTTTTAGACGTAACTCCCCTTCTCTTCAGAGAAGCCCATCTCCGCGTAGGAGGTACCCCCATCACCTCCACCACGATATAGGATTCTCAGACACCGTATCGAACGTAGTGGAAATTGTAAAGCACGAACATCAGAGAGCCTCTCAAAGAACTAGATTTCCTAGAGGTAAGCTAATGTGTTTTTTCAATAGTACTCCTAAAGCACCACATGTTTTACCGCTATAAAGACTTTAAATTCTGTTTTTAAATTTATTCCAAGGAACATTATAAAGAAGAAATGGAAAATGTTTTATTCTTCATATGCTTGTGCCCATGAGTGAAATCTCTGTTAAATTTTATATACAGGGTGTTACTCTAGTAAGTGGGGGTCAGTTTTTTAGGGACAATAGTTACGTGTCCCCCCAGAACTGATCTGATTTTTTGTTGATCAAATAATAGTATACAATTTATTTTTTAAACAGCATTTAAGCTAAAGTACAAAAAAGTTAATCTAATTTATGGTTTAAATTATTTTTGCTGTTTTATAAAATGTATTAAAAATATGTATATTTATGTAAAATAAAAATATGATGGGTTTAACTTTTTAACATCATTTCAAGTTTTTAATAACTTAATGCCTACTGGCACAAAGCATCACTTTGTACCTACTAGCATAGAGCAACCTACTATTTCCTAAGTGCTATAGAAATATGACTAGTACTGCATTAGGTAAAATAAACTTTCTAATTAACGATAATGTGGGGAACAACTACTCCACGAGCTATATGCCCTGACTGGCTTTGAATTTCTCTCACACTCAAAACATGTTTCTAGATAGACTCCCAAGTAGCTAAATATTTGTTGGTTGTCTCACCTATAGCATACTGACAAGAACTAATAAGTTCAGAACCGATATATGTCTGGTGGTTCGGCTGTCGAAAAATCTTAGCTATTTAGTCTAGACATTTGCAACATAATTCAATACCAGTTGGAGCACATAGCCTAAGTAGTTGTTTCTCGCAATATCAATAGTGAAAAAAATTTTGTTCTTATTAAAAATTGTATTTAATTTTTATTCTTTCTCATATTAAGTAAAAAAGTGTCACTGTTCGTTTTTAATAACAACGCTTGTAAAATAAATTTTACCATCCTTCTGCACCGAACAAATTCTTAAAGTTGTTTTTAAGAATTTTCCGCTCTAGGCTCCTGGTCAGCCTCGACGAGTCCAGCGAGATCGCCCTCGCCCACAGGAGGCCGACACAACTCCAGGTATGGCCCCCTGAGATCGTCCAGGAGAGGCGATTACGGAACTACCAGTTTGTGTCAGCGGTCAAGGTCTCCCAGTCCTACTAACCCCAATACTACTCACCCCAATACTACTCACCCCAATACTGCTCACCCCAACACGCATCCGCCGGCGCACCCTGCGGTACCACACCAGCAGGGTCCTCCGCTAATAGGTAGGAAATAGTCTTTATGTTAAAATGAAATCTGTGTGATAAGTGTTGTGTAAAAATCATTGGAAATCCAAATTACAGAGCATTAAGTTTCCATGGTACTATTTATAGATGATATTATATTATCAAAGCCTAATAACAATAGTATTAGTCATTAGTCATTAGTCATTTAGCTTATAAAATTTATTTTATTTGACACAGTAAGCCATTTTTTTTTTACTTTTACATTATATTGAAAAGTTGAAAGTACTGAAATTTATGATTTTATACATATTGTTAAAAAATTTGATATGGTTTATTTGTAACACAGCTGTATTGGTTCTTATATATTTGTAATTTCCTTCATCTCTGTGATCGTTTTTGTGTTCTCTGTAATTTTCTCTGCAAATTACTTCTTCATGTTTTTCTATGATTGTTCTGCGATTCTCTGCGATTTTCTTCTCGTTCCCTACAATTCTTCATCTTTGTGATTTTCTTTTCTGCCTTTTCTGCAATTTTCTTTCTCTACTCTGTGATTTTCTTCATGTTCTCTGTGATTTTCTTTGTGTTTTCTATGATTCTCTTCATGTTTTCCATTATTTTCTTTATTTTTTCTGTTATTTTTTTTTACTCGTCTTTGTTGCAACTTCCTTTTTCATCTTATTTGGTATTTCATTTGTATGTCTTTATATTCTTTACTATTTTTTTCTCTGCGATTTCTTTGTCTTTGTTATTGTTTAATTCATCATTTTTTGTGATTTTCTTGTTGTCTTTACAATATTTTTTTTGTATTCTTTGTAATTTCTTTCTCGCAATTTTTTTTCTATCTTCTCTGCAGCTATATTTGTGATTGTGTGTGATCTTTTCTTCATTAACCATGATTTTCTTTCGCAACTTCTCTACAATATTCTTTACTCTGCGGTTTTCTTTGAGATTCTCTTCTTCCTCTGTGCAATTTTCTTCTCACCTCTACAACTTCCCTTGCCTGCTCTGCGATATTCTTCACCTTTTTGTTTTTTATGCAATTCTCTACTTCATTCTCTGCTTTTTTTCTGCAATTTCTTTGTGTTCTTTGCTATTTTCTTCGTCTTCTTTGTCTTTATATTTTTTGTTTTTTCAATTTTTTCCTTTATTTGCTGCCTCTGTTTCTCTCTTCTTTCACATAAATTAAATCAACAAGTTGTTTTTTTTTTTATATTTCATAGTATAGACTTCCTTTCCATATAATTTAATAATTAATACACTTATAAATTACCTTTGTAAATAAAATTGCTTTACATTTTCATTGACCATAATCAATTCTGGACATTCTCCTTATTATTTCCTTTAAGAATAAAATTTAACTTTCTATTAAATAAATATTGAAATTAACCAAGCCACCGCAAACTTACTGCTCTGTTTATATCATACATTGATGTATTGCTAGAATTGAACTGTTATGTGTGTATAAATTTGATGTTTCGATGTTCATAACGAGATGGCTAAACAAAAAAGTCGTAAATTTACAGCAAGTGCTGTGGTAGGTATCCCGATGGGGCAGTCTGCGGCACACCAGGGTAGCATGCAGCACAGTCACCCAATGTTGGGGGGTAGAAGGGGACAGGGGAGAAGGTTACCACCCACACCCTGCAAGCCCTCGACGCTTCAACTTAGACCCGGTACAATCAACTTTCCGAAACTCAACGCGTCTCCAACCCACGTAAGTCAGAGAAGGAAACTAAAAATCAGTGACTGTTTGAACACATTTTTATTGTTCTAAAAAATATATTTTCACATTTATGTTAATGAACTTAACACTTTTGGAGTGTTTTCTAAGGAGACAAAATGTAGGTCAAATATCCTAAGCTTGATCTAAAATTGGAAAACAAAAATTGCATCTTGACATTTCTGTGACATTTGAACTACTTTCTATTTATCTCCTAAGGAAACAAGAGAAACTCTTTAAAAGGTGAAATTGATGTATTCTTTAATATGCACTAATGACAAAAAAAAGAAAACTTAACTTTAGCTAAAAAATGTCAATCAATCTTTTCTTCTTCCGCAGCAACAACTGCAATCACAGTCTGCACACGCAACGCCCCACACCTACCCGCATAGTTTCCCAAGGGATCGAGAACCCCTGAGAGAGATCGTGCCCGCCACTCCCGCCAATGTTACGACGAATATCAGCGTCAACCCGGGAGTAAGGGATCAGGCCCCACTGAGCTTCGAACAGGCCGTCGCGCTCGGAAGGGGCGGCAGAATGTTACCCAGTCCTGTACCAAACGGGTAAGTCCAAAGTTTTTGTCTTTTTGTCCCAAGTAACGTTAGTACTCATAATAACACTTTTTTATTTTCGTTATTTCGAATTTTCAATTTTATTATTTTCAACAACATCAACTTTCTCAACTTTGAATTATAAAGAAAAATAGTAAGCATAAGTTTCATAAATAAATCAAAGCACAAGTTAATGTGATTAAATAACTATATTTTGTGTTTTCTCTGCATGGAAATTATAATGACTGTTCATTTCCATAGAATCTGTGCATGAACTCATGAAACGTTCTATGGTTACAACACTGATTTCTAACTTTGTTTATTGTGTACAAACAGAGAGACTAGTGCTGCATAGTTTCATTTCTCAATTTGTAAGTTTCCCACTTAGGCATTTCCTTTCATGTCATATGCGTGTAAGTGAGAAAAATGAGTAATCATTATAGTAGTCACAAACGAGCAAATTTAACAGATGAAGAATGTTGTATGATAACCAATGTTTATTAGAGAATTCCAGCAGGGTTATTTCATGTATGTGCTATTTTTTAACAAAAGTGTCTGCCAGAAGTGTTTATCATGTCCGTAAGAAAATTCAAGGATTTCGATTTAAAAATGAACCTCCAACATCTGGGAAAGGACGGCGATTAATAATTACACATATTGAAAGTGGTTTACATTGTTTATGGTGAACAGGAGATTACCATGGACAGTGGAAAAATTTAGAAAAATAGTTTACATCTATTTTGCCTCACATCAAAACTGATGCATTTGTGCCTAGTCATACTTGACAAATAAAAGAATTGCCAACATTGCATGGAGAAAAGGAAATTTCATGGAATGGTTGAATGCAAAACATATTGAATATAAAAACAAAATGTTAAAAACAGTTATTGACAATTGCACAAAAATAAAAAGTCAAATACACGAATTATGTAGTGAACGAATTGGTTAAAGCTCAGAGTTACACTTCTTCGATTGCCACCATACCACTGTGAGCTAAAACCCATTGAACTAATCTGGGTGGATATAAGGACTTATGTTAGGTGGCAGTAATGGTAGTGATAGAGTACAACAGTGATTTTATTAATGCGTAAAACAATCGTTTCTAGTGTGTTATTGATGCTGCATCTCATTCTTCAGTGATGTCTGTACTTTTAGTAGCTTTGGTGATTTTAGTGATTTTGTGTCGCATTACTGTTACAACAATAACTTTTAACAGGAGGCACTTGTCGCTTGGCCAATTAGAGAAAGTGAAGAAATAAAATAAGGAGAAAAAAGTGTAGTAAAAAAAAAAGCATGGGTGGCAACAGGCCACCTTTGCCGCGAAGCAGGATTGCTGAATACATACCTTAATATAAATAAAAAAAGTACCTACTTGCCTGTTGGATATACTGAGGTGGGTGTAAATTTGCAATGGTAAACTAATTTTAACCAAAATCATCATATCTAATTATTATTCTATATCTAACAATTTTTGGAACCCTCTAAAATGATACGCCCATGGAATTGCTTTCCCTGCCTTGTCCATTGTACATACATACATACAACATACATGTTGAGAATGAGTCACTGCTTAAAATTTTTGAGCTATAGTATAATCTTAATGATTTCGTGCGATTATATATTCTTAATTGTTTGGAATATAGTCCGGTCAAATCAGTCATAAAAATAGTGGACAAATAACGAAAACTCCGACAGAGCTAAATTTTGGTGGAGACCTTGGGTACACCATTAGAAATAAAGTGTCAAAAGTCCCCATCGATCCCATTTGTGCTAAAAAAGTTATTCGGGGTCAAAGGTCAAAAACAAGTAGTTCTGACAAAAATTATAGATCTTAAAATTATCTACAAAAATGGTCCTTGTAATTTTTTTTCTAAGAATCACCATTCCTGAGATATTGCGGTTCTAAAAGTTGAAGTGCCATTTTTGTAGATAATTTTAAGATCTATAATTGTTATCCGAGCTACTTTTTTGATAAAACTTACCGTTTTGAAAAAAATCCAAAAAACCTCAAATTTTGACCTTTGACCCCAAATAACTTTTTTAGCACAAATGGGATCCCAAGGTCTCCACCAAAATTTAGCTCTGTTGGAATTTTCATTATTTGAAATGTCTATATTGACCGGACTAATATGGAGGTATATAAGAAATCTGGTGTTGACGTTGCAGATACAAACCGAAACCAACACGTTCTAGGCACTCCGATTCCGATGACGATGACTGGTGCTAGCATATGCTGAACACTCTTTAAGAGTACAGTGCAGAGTAATCTAAAAATCGAGAGGTGACTCTTTAAACAAAGTGAAAACCTGATGAACTGTTATTCATAAATTCGCTCAGTACATTTAAGTCGTATTTGGAATTTCTGATTTCGAAAAAGATATATATTCCATTTCGTATCTTTGCCACTGGATATTAATAAAACCCCAGCACATGACCTGCGGGGTAGAAGAATATTAACGATGTATATTTGAGAAAATTTGCTTCAGTCGTTAAATTAATTTTAGATATGATTAATTGTACTTTCCTTAAATGTACTGTGCTTTAAGCTATTTGGGCCTTTCAGGAATTGAATAACATAATTTAATTGTGTCAGTGTGTATAAAAATTAAAAAAAACTTGAGCGGGTGGACTCGAATTAAATTAAAAAATTTTATAAAACTACTGCCAATAACTCTATATAAAAAATTATGACTATGATGACTATTTTCATTAAGTTTATTCTGTAAAAAGGCGGTTTTTTAGCAATAGGTACGCGCGTTCTAAGGATAAGCTTGAACTTCTATTTTGTAAATTAAGTACGTTTAAGTTGAACAGGTTTTGTTTGGGGCCAAATAAAAGTTATAATGTAAATTTTAATAAGAAATTGTCCTAGTATTATTGGCATGGTTAAACCATATTCCACGATTTAGAATTGACTCGTCACCAATTCATCACTTTTGCTAAAAACCCGTTTTTGATTTAACTTTGAGCGAATTTCGTAATAATTGTAAATATAATAGTAAATAATTGGTAGATTTTGAATTTTGAATAAGTGTTATTTATACCAAAAAAAAAAGAACCGTTTATTATTCTGATAAATAATTATATAATTCTTCCCTAAAGTGCTTTAAATCACTATAAAGTTTACGATTAAAATACATAAAACTTGTTACAAGGAAAGAGTTACTTTGGTTGTTATGTTTGTGTTATGTGTAATTAATTATTGTAATACTTTAATTGAAGAAAATAAGTAAGGAAAAGCCTGAATAAAATTTAAAGTTTACAGAAAGTGCAGCTGACATAACCATATAACCTTGATATAATACGAGGGTTGTATGATAAGTAACTGGTCTTGACGAGAAGAAACATTTTGCTAAAACTTTATTTTATTGTTCAATGTATTCACCTTTCAGTTCGATACACTTAGTTCAACGTTTTTCTATCTTTTGTATCCCTCTAAAAAATACGATTGCGCTTCAACTCTTTCAACAAAATAAGTGTCATTTTATCACCACACAATAATCAATTTTCTTCATGGATGTAAAATTGCAAAATTTGTTCTATTTAAATGGCTGGCATTTATAAACTATACCACACAGAGAACAGTTTAACAGTGTTGTTGAGAAAGGTTATATTTACGAAAAATATCACTAGTAGCGCCATCTCTTGCCTAGGCCAGGTACTTATTCAGCCCTCGTATTTTCATAAAATTCGCCAAATAAATTTATTTATCGGAGAATCAATGAAGTTAATCATGGTTATTTTCTTCAAATAAAGCTCTCCTTATATAAATTATTTCTGTGATATAAGCACGAGATGTGTATAGTTTTTCATATGCAAAATTTCACCACTATTATTTCAGTGTCTATAACTATGCTCTGTGAAGGGACTTTTTTTTTCTTATATAACGTGTATAATACTACTTAACATCTACATAAACTTTTTAAAATTTGATTGGGCCCTGCGCCCAATATAGTTTATTAAAAACGATGCCTTATTCTACTTATAACCAGTTCATGCAGAGAGTTTACCATGCTAACTCGTTTCATGGTTGTTTGGTAAGAAACTTACAAAGTTCCACGAGGTACGGCCTCCTCAGCAGTTTTTAACTTTGTGCTGGACCGAATAAGAGCATTAGGGTGCACGGTTTATCTAAAAAAATGGCTGAAATAAAAAATTTTAAAGAACGTAAAGTGTTACTTTCAAAATTGTGTCGTTTTCTATTTTTTTTTTTTTTTTTCAACTCTGATTAGGTATATAGTCATAATGTATCGACAAAAATTTAAATTGCCTTTTATGCAATTCTCAGTATTGAAATGTGTTTTAGCAGTTCTATTTTTTTTAAACTGTTTTTCTATTTTTTTTTTCGTTTATTTTATTTATATTTTTTAATCGCGCATTATCTTTTGTAGAATGAAAAGCATTTAAACATGTGTGTGTAATGGTTGATTGTAAAAAAGTACTATTTGTAAAAAGTAACTGCTGTATTTGAAGTGGAAGTTAAAAATTGCCTTAAAGAATACATTACGTGTTCTCTGTTTATTTTAAATATATACGGCCTAATATAATATAAACGTATTAAGTAAGACTTAGTAATAACTTTGGTCAGAAATTCGCAAACATATACAAAACTTAAGTAATTGGCTATAGGTATTAACGCTGTGTATTGGTTAAATTTAGGCAGGGCCGTACCCCGGAGGGCGATTCGCAAAAGAAAGTAGCATTTTTATATAACAAAATTTAGACTAAGACCTTCATTTCTTTCTTTACAAGTGCTCTGCCAAAGAATCATCGAGAGATTTTTCCTCTACAGTTGAGACGTTTGCACCTACTTAGTAAGAAATTAGAGGCGAAATCTTTTGGGTACTTAAAAATAAGTTCATTATCAATATATGATTGTAACTTGTGGTTATCACATAACAAAAAGTATTGTCATTGACAAACCTTAAAAGATATGAGTCCCACTTCGTTTCGAAGTCATATTTTTTCTTGGTTTACGAAACGTTTCCTGGAAAACATCCTCCGACGTCTCTAGAAGTAAAGTCGTCAAAAATGTTGGAATATATAGATTTTTCTCCTAACTCGATTAAAAATTATATGTAACCACAAAACGTAGTGATCATTAACCAAAATGTACAAGAAAACGTATTCAGAATCTCTGCGGATGTCCAAGTTCTAACTTGTCAAAGTGGAACAGACGATGGAGGATTTTATTTCAACTGTTTTACAAATATGGATAAACAGTCAAATTTAGGGGACCCGTATTTTTTTCTTTTTGCCAAGTGGCCCCTCTTTTGGTGTTACAACCCCCTGAAATCTGCCCCTAAGAAAACCCTGTTGTACAAGAACCACTAAATTGGGTACACAGGGGTTTTATGATATGGGGAATCTGATAGTGTTACGCTTTTTGGTGGGAACCCCCCTTAAGACACTTTTTCGTGGGCCCCCTTATCTTTGGAACAAAAAAAAATATAGTCGCAAATTTGAATTTTTAAAAAATTATTGGTTAGCTAGGAAGTCATTGAATTTAGAAAGTTTTTTGTCTCTTTTAAAATTTTTCCTTAAAACTCAATATTTTTGAGGAAAATGGCGAATCATGTACATTTTAACATTTTTTCTCGAAAACATTGCGTTTTACGAAAGAAGTATCAAGAGACAAAAAGTCTCTAAATTTAATGGGTTTCCAGCGGACTAATAATTTTTAAGAAATTAAAATATGCGACCAAATTTTTTTGGCTACAAAGACAAGGGGGCCAGCCAAAATGCGTAGCACCATCAGATTCCACATCACAAAACTCCTCTGTACCAAATTTAGTGATACTCGTACAACAGGGTTCTGAGATATAAAAAAAAGATTACTATTATTCTTAGGGGCGGATTTCAGGGGGCTGTAACTCCAAAAGAGAGGGCCACTTGGCAAAAATAAAAAGTACGGGTCCCCTAAATTTGTCTTCAGAATCTGTGACCAAATTTTGTTGCATTAATTTCGGGTCACCCTGTATAATGATGAAATTTTGTTCGATCGCTTGGAAGGCTTCACACTACATAATTCCGTTAACTGCACATAGATAGCGCTACGAACTTCGCCACAATATAGTTTTTAACCGGACTGTGTACCTCATCGTTTTGTGTTTAAAAAATTGATTCAAAATGTATATTTGAACGTCCTGCATCTTTCTTATTAAATATTCCCATTAAACATTTTTGTAAAGATTTCTCTATCGCCCGTTTTGAAGATTAGAATAAGGATGCACCGTAAGTTTTACGTTGACGATGCGGTGTTTTCCAAGAAATGTAATTTTATTATTGATATCTCTGCCAACAAAATGCGGGTCATTATTCAACTTAACTCGGTAGATTAGGTAGCTTAGGTGAAAAAGTAATGCGAGACGAATGAAAGAGCAGAATGATATGCCAATGATGCAGAAACCGTTTGTATTCACAGACATTTTCCCATTTCATTGTTTTATAAGTCCAAAATTTTGTATTTCAAGAAGACGTCCAAAAACAAACACAACATTTCTAGAATAGATACCCTAAGATCTACGTAAAAAATGATCTGCTTGTTTCTGGACGAGTACCGTGTATAAATAATAAGTCCATATATCTACTAAATGAAAAGTGTTGATACACATTCTCATGAAAAAATTTCCATTTCAAGAAACTTGCTGTCCTGTTAATAAATTAATTAAAGTATTACCTTGTTACAAACTTAGCATATAATTTTACTCTAGTTAGTAAGAAAAATCAATGCAGCAAGTTGGTTGAGATTTTGATTGAAATGTGTACAAATTAAAAATTTATACATCTTTTTCGTAATTATGTTATTGAATATCTATGTATTTATTCATCAGTTAGGAAATTTGCATTAGTGTTATTACAATAATACTGCTTTAAAGCCATTTTTTAATGAAAATTGTGAATAAATAATAAATACGCTAATCGTATATTTTATTTTAAACCTGGTTGCCCCCGTTTGATGATTTATTGGTGAAGCACACAGACACACACAGACACACACACACACATATTCACACTGTGCTCCAATCCAAATTCGTGTTGGGCAATCTTAAAAAATAGCCGTATTTTGTATGGATCGTATCACACTGAAAAAATATCAATGTTGGAGAAGTATCGGTGACAAATATGGAGTGTTAGTACCTAAAGTCACTTTTTTTATTTTATTATTTATTTTATTGATTTATTTACACATACATACACAAAAAATGTTTTCCTTAAACGAGGCAAACAATATTAAATTGCATACAGTCGATCTCCTTTAGAAAAAACTTTGGACCTAAATTTATTAGCTTAAATAAATAGCAATATTTATACAGGGTGTTTTCTAAAATCTGAGTCATAACTCTCAACATGAAAAGATAGTTCGTTGGAGCCAAAAGCCATCAAGCTTTATTTAAAAGATCTAATGTTCCACTGAGTTTTTAGATACAGAGTGTTGAAGTTCTAGAAGAATAAACTGGAGCCGTTTTTTTTTAATAAAGTGGAATAGACCTTTTATTCCTAAAAAAAAATATAATTTGAAATTAAATTAAATGAAATTAGTTTTGTTAACCTATTTTTGAAAAACTTCATCACCCTGTACATGGAAAATTCGATAATGTTCCAAAGAACTTGGAAGTTATGACAAACACTTAGAAACTATTGTGTATGTCAAAGGTGTAAAGTTGGTCAACGTCTGGACTCTTGGGCCTCAAGCTCTTATTACACCTCTGATATACACAAAATTTTATCCACGTCAGTCACAAATTTGGTGTCGGTATTTGATGCAAAATTCTTCCCATTTTGCATTTTAAATCGAGCATCGAGTCATTATAGTAGTAGTCACTTGTTATAGACCACGGGCGATTAAAGTTGCCCTTATAACACTCGGTCGTGGATAAAATAACTACAAATACATCTTTAGTTGAGAAACTAAGACAGAATATATATACCTTTTTACAATATGTAAAAAAACTTGTACAGTGTTAGTCTCGGATGCTTCCTGTGAGCGTTAGTGATGACGGAACAAGGGATGACGAAGCAAAGAGGGTTAGAATGAATCGTTTCGGAAGTTGTCAGTTTTTAGAAATCGTAAGAATCGTTTTCTCCTTTTTCCACTTTGAACAGGAACCTGTACACTAGACCGGCAACCACCCCACCGATAATTGGGCCTACCCAGTATATCTGTAAATGAAAATAAATTGGTACATTTCAGTCGAATATCAAACAAAACAGAACAAAGAAATACTTTTGTACCAAGTAGTGCACAATTATCACTATTTTAAAAGTTTTATTAACAAACTTTTATTTACACATAATACAGGGTGTTGCAAAAAGGTAGGTCAAACCGTTAACCACAGATTCTTTGAATGAAAATAGTGAGACTTTCCTTATACCATTTTAACTGCAACTCTGTTTCTTCTATTCATGCTTAGATTTATTTTAACAAAAATTATACAAAAATATGCCAAATTCGGTGCAACATTTCTACTGAATTCTTAAAAAATAAGTTTCATCTGTTGAATACATGTAAATCCATTTTTACATTATGCTAGAATTTTTGGGAAATAGCTTAAGTTGAAAGTTAAAAAATTATATCACCGTCTTTTTCAAACTACAATGTAAGAGATTAGGTAAACTATTTTTGTGTTTAATTTTTTATGTTTTCATGTTGAAGACAAAATCTAGAATTTAGTTTTTCCTATGAATTTTAAAAACATTTTCTAAAAAAACACTAAAGAATAAAACGAGAAAATAGTATAGTCTTTCCGATATCAATTGAAGAACTAAGTCGTTGACGATATGTACCGAACCTGGTCACTGACGCAGCAACTCGACATTGAAATATTTGAAGAACTTGTTCCCATATTTATTTAACCATACCCATATACAGGTCTGGTTGAACTACACGTGGAGGTGGTAGAAATGTATATGCCCAGTTGAAGAATGCGAGCACAGGCAAACGAAATCTAACACAACTGTATTGGGCTACTGGGCAATTAATCTCAGCTTTTGACAAGTGATTGACAAATTGCCTAGCAGTGCAGTGCAGCAATGCGGAATTCGGTGTGATTTAGGTAATTTTAATTTTTTATAGGCACCTTCTATTAGTCAGTTATATTACAATTGCGGAAGGGAGAAATAATATTGCAACATGGCATTTTGGAGACCTTTTGAAACGGAACAAAACGAAATTTACCATCAATATAATAAAATTGTTTGAGGACATAAATAATTAAAATATGTTGTTGGTCAAATGAACATATAATAGAAATGTTCTACACATTATATACAAATTATTATAATTTTTTTACCTTTAGTAGAAAACTTTTCTAGGGACGCCTATGAAGCTCATTAAATTTGATTGCTCATAACTTGTCCGTACAATATATGGACCAGTTATGACAAAAATTATTATACTTCGAAGACCGCAAAGATTCGGACAACATATACATGGCACTATTTTTTGTTACAAATTACCCTTTTTATTGCCTCCTTGTTTGACACCCTATATACCAGCATGATGAAAATTCATTAATTCATTTCTTTTGCATAATGATCTACAAATTAATTGAATTCAAGTACCTAATATGTATTTTTTTTTAATGTCTGAACATTATTTTAATTTTCTTGTTTATGCTCCTTGACCTTTCGCATCCTGGTTTTCTCTAAACAAGCTCTCATCATTTTACATAACACTTTTAGAATGCTGGAGTAAATGACCTTTTCCGATCTCTTTGGGAAAATCCCTAGCCACACGGATCATAAACATTCTTTTCTATTATATCAGACCTACAGATATATTCTGAATCATTCATTGTAAAGATATAATCTCAATTTAACATCTTTTAATAATTATTACAATATCCTTTTTGCAGCATCGTAATGTTCTAAAATTCATTTATTTCCCATACCTACCTATTTTTCAAGTCATTAAAAAATAATATGAAGAGGTTTAAAGAAAAAAGTTAAAAGTGAAGAACATAAGTTAAAAAAAAATTAAATTGATTGATTGATTGGAATACATAATCATCAACATAATAGCAAGAAAAATAAATATTACTCACCCAGTGATTTTCCCAGATGTTCATGATAACGGCTGGCCCAAAACTGCGTGCCGGATTTATACTAGATCCAGTATATTGGATCTGGAACATATTTAGTAGTTACTTGGAAGTGTAGAAATAATTTACAGAAGCATTTCAGTTATTTGGAAAAAAATTGTATTGGCAAAACGAAGCAACTTGGTATAGAGATGTAAGTTGCATTAAAACACCATATTTCAGGATCCCCTCATTATAGAAGCTGGTGAAAATTAAAGTGCTCGTATTTTGATAATAAACCCTGAAGTCCTATACCTTTTTTTTAGGAAATAATTTATATGCTCGTATAGAGAACTTTCATGATAAAACCAATTGGGATTTATAAGCTATTCTATCAGATAAGTCAAAGTAAAAGGGTTGACACTTGCCCACAAATTTTTATGTTTGTGTAGGTCCTCAGAATCCAGGGGGTTTTGTGACTGACGCCATTAGATCTCACAAATCATGCAATTATCATATTTATTACAATCATTACTTTTACTACCACAGTTTAAGCAACAAATTGCCTCTTTTTGATACACCCTTAGATTTGACGGCGTCAGCCTTCTCTGCCTTCTAGCCGCGGACGGCCTAACATCCCCTAAAACTATGAGCAACGTCAACAATTAGATGGATCTTCTAGTCCCTGTATATTTAATGGTAGGTGTATGCATACCAAACTTCACTTAAATTGGACAAAGCGTTTCAAAGCTATTTAGATGAAAAACAATTTTTTTTTTACTTCAATGCCATCTACCAAACAATGAGCAAAATAATGAGGTAAGTTGCCTCCTAAAGTTAATACAACAAACGCTTCCTGAAATACATTAAACTAAACTGAAATTGAAATATAACTAACTAATCCAAAATATAATTGATGCTTTCTGAAATAATTACAGAAATTAAATTCTCTTTTTATCCATTAGGTATAGTCCACGGGCCCAGACGCTTTTTTTTCTTTGATTAATAACAAGCTGAATTTTGGGGAATAGCTTCGTTTTGACGAGACGCCCAACTTTTCCCTCTACGAAAATTCTCGAAAACGGTAGCTAATAAAGCGCGGGGATGTCAAACACGTCGATTTGGTGAATGATCAATATTTATTGCTAACAAGTAGTTTTTTACTTAAATCGCATGATAATTCTATGAAAAACTCTAAAAAACTTTTGTCCTACACGTTCGATGGTTTTTCCGAAGCGTCTCCCACTCTTAACATGTTAAAATAATATGATCTTAGAAGTTATTAATAACCACCTAATTTTTTCACAGATGCTTGGTAATTATTATTATAATTCATTGACATTTTTGTCCTACACGTAAAATGGAAGGTTTTCCTAGTCCTACACTGGGAAAGTGTCATTTCCACGGGTACAATTTTCTCATTAATAACAACCTAATTTTCGATTTTTTCTTTTGAGAACGATGTTTGAATCAAGATTTTACCAATGTCCTACAAAAAAAGTGGAAGCTAGTGATGAAAACAAATAAAATTATACTGGAAATCATACAATTTAATTTTCAATAAAAATTATAAAAAAAATTATTGAAGTTTATAATTTTTTTTTAACTTATTTATCTATATAATAATGAATTATTCAATAATCTTTATAATAATAAGTTTTTTTTAAATTTATGAATTATCGAATGTTTCACCATTGGTGAAAATAAAAAATTTCAAAATTCCCGCACCAATCAGGATTATTTTGGCGGTTTGCCCACGTTTTATTTTAGAGAGAATCAAGTGTGTTTCAGTCGTCCACGTTTTTGTGCTTTTTTTTTGACTATGGAGTTCTTATGCAAATTATTGTGCGATAATCCGAATTTCCGAGAAAAAAGAGAGGAAATAAAAAAATTCTCTAAAGTAATTCTGATTGTTTGCAAACAATATAATATAATATTTTATAGTAATAAATTCACTTTTTGTTATTTTCATACAAAAAATGATTATTTTATTAATAGATAAAGGAGCTGTTTATTGAATATCACACATGAGCGTGGTTATTGAATAATTTTAGTAGTAAAAGTTAATGCAGAATAACAAAATTAATAACTATTAACTATTTTTGTGTATAAATTTTTTTTTAAAGTAATAAAATTAATTAATCTACTTAATTAATTTAAAGTTAATTATATTAAAAGGTATTCAGTTACTGAAACGGGTTCAGTAAGTAACTCCTTTAAACTTGAGATAAAAATGTATATTTCTTTGTTTAATATACTCAAAAATACCTTTTATTCAAAATTTTTTTCTATAATTTCTAGAATAAAAATTAAAAATAATACAAAAACATTTACATATGATTTTAAAATATAATAAAAAATTCATCGGTTTGGCTCGACTTGGCTCGATAAGGGTAGTTTGCTTAATATATCCACCCCCCCTCCCCTAAACTCTCTGGAGGGTTACTACTTTTCTACTTTGTGGCATCATACGATCACATGTGCATAGAAAGTTAAATATACACTTTTTTCGACGACATAGAGAAAAATCGCTTTGGTTTAGTTCGGCCGCGCTTGATAAGGATAAAGTTTGTTTATCACTCCCCCCCCCAAACTTCCTGGGGGGGAGTGATAATCACAAGAAGATATAATGCTGATTTCGAAATTCGCAATTTTAAATAATTTTATATAATTTTTGTAGGACTAGCGATACATACTCATTTTTTTGTAGGACATAGTTTCTTTTTATTAAAAATTCCCTAAAATATCGTTTGGTTTCTTTGTCCTACAGTTATTAATGAGAAAATTGTACCCGTGAAAATGACATTTTTCCATTGTAGGACTAGGAAAACCTTCTATTTTACGTGTAGGACAAAAATGTCACTGAATTATAATAATAATTACCAAGCATCTGCGAAAAAATTAGGTGGTTATTAATAACTTCTAAGATCATATTATTTTAACATGTTAAGAGTGGGAGACGCTTCGGAAAAACCATCGAACGTGTAGGACAAAAGTTTTTTAGAGTTTTTCATACAATTATCATGCGATTTAAGTAAAAAACTACTTGTTAGCAATAAATATTGACAATTCACCAAATTGACATATTTGATACCCTCGCGCTTTATTAGCTACCGTTTTCAAAAATTTCCGTAGAGGGACAAGTTGGGCGTCTCGTCAAAACGAAGCTGTTATTAATCAAAGAAAAAAAAGGGTCTGGGCCCGTGGACTAGTATTTCTGCAACACTGAATAAATAAATAAATTCTACTTACCCCACATAAATGGGCAGCGGTGATCGCCAGCCCGATGGCAAGTGGGGCGGATCCCTTGATGTCGTTCCTGCGGGGGTCGCAGACGCCGTGGATGACGAATAGGAGCAGGAAGGTCAGCACGCCTTCCATCAGGAGTCCCTGGAGTTGCGTGATCTGCGAACTTATGTTGGTCAGACCCAAGTTGCCGACTTTATCTTCTGGCGTGGCCACCTACAGTATTTGTAAAAAACAAATGTCGTTGAAAAAAATATTATAGAATAATGTTTTACTTTGTAAAAAAATATTGACATTGTTGAAGACATACGTTAATTTTTATCGCCTCTATTCATGGGCGCCGCTAACCGAAGGGAATGGATGAAAGGGTGGTGGAGCATAGATAAAACATCAGAATGATTAATCTACTAGGTCTAAGGTCCGTGAGTAAATGATACATGAAATAAAAGCCGGGAAGCTATTCATGGCATCATGCTGACATTGCACATATAAAGAATTTGAAACGTTCAAGTAAAAAATCTCGTGGGCGACGAGAGCGCCGTCCATGCGCGTGCGTGGGCACCGCGCTCATTCTCCCGCGTGCAGGCCGTTCATTAAAGTTGACTTTTACTGTTACTAGTGCGTTTTTTACATGAATTACACAGCCACAAAAAAAATGAAAAGTAGTTTGTACTTTCCATGCGACATATGTTATCTGTAGTATTTTTGCCTCCTGATCACGAATCCGGTGTCAGAATTGAGCTGTCACATAACAGGAATTTCCTAACCCCAAAAAACAGGTCAAAAATAGCAAAATTCATGAAAAAGTGCTAGGAAAACTAGAAAAAAAAATTTTTTTTCTATATTCAAATGTTCATTTATATAGTTAAGACCCCGCCGAACGTGAATTAGCGGTCAGAATTGATGGTTCTCAAACCTCAAAAAAACGGGTCAATTAAGGTCAGATATCACGAATTTTCAAAAAAATAAATTCGCGCCAAATTTGGTATACGGGGTATTCGGGGTCGATGATCACGGATCCGTGGTCAATTTTGCAAAATTCGAGATGGCGGATCCAAGATGGCCGACCAAATTTTAAAAAAATAACAGATTCGCATCAAATTTGGTATAAGGGGGTTTTCGAGGTCACTGATAACGAATCAGATTTACAAAGTTCAACCCGTGAATAGATATTTTACAGAAAAAGGAACAATATATAGCCGAAAAAAAAGTAGATTAACACATGATTGGGCAGTAAAAGTAAAATATTACAAAATGAATTCCGCAGTTCTGACCTCGAATACGTAATCTGCGACCCCGAAAACTCCCGTATACCAAATTTGCTACGATTCTGTTATTATTTGAAAATTAGGTCGGCCATTTTGAATCCGCCATCTTGAATTTTGCAAAATTGACCTCGGATTCGTAGTCAGCGATCCCGAAAACCCTCGTACACGAAATTTGCTGCGATTCTGTTATTTTTTGAAAATTGGGTCGGCCATCTTGGATCCGCCATCTTGAATTTTGCATAATTGACCTCGGATCCGTGATCAGCGACCCAGAAAACCCCCGTATACCAAATTTGGCGCGAATCGGTTATTGTTTGAAAATTCGTGATATCTGACTTTAATTGACCCGTATTTTTGAGGTTAGAAAAAGAACCATTAATGCTGACCGCGGATTCACGTTGGGCGGGGTCTTAACTACCTATATAAATGAACATTTGAATATAGAAAAAAAAAAATGTATTTTTCCTAGCACTTTTTCATGAATTGTTGCTATTTTTTCCTGTTTTTTTGAGGTTAGGAAATTCCTGTGATGTGATAGTTTAATTTTGACACCGGATACGTGATCAGGAGGCAAAAATACTACAGAAAACATATGTCGCATGAAAAGTACAGACTACTTTTCTTTTTTGTGTGGCTGTGATATCAATGCAAATTTTTTTGAAAATACCTAATACAGAGGGGTGTCTCATAAATAATGTCGGTTTTCATTCATGGGACACTATCCAACAACTTTTATAGGTCTTACCTAATGACCTTAATTGGCGATGTATAGTCTTTTTAGAAATTCCAAGCAAGTACGGTAATCGGTAATCCACGAGTGTTCTGCTTCCTTTGTAGCCTCAATATCCCACATAGGCAATCGATCTTCAAATGTCAAATCTCCACTGTTAAAACGATTAAACCCGCTGTGTCATTCGCTCATTAACCATGTCTTATCCTTCAATATCTGATATTTTCCTTGCTGCCACGGCTGCAAGGAAAATTGTTTCCAATAATGTCTTAACTACATACTTTTTATTATTAAAACGTCTTGCGCCGCCAATAAACAAAGACAATATAATTAAAATAAAGTAAAACAATTACACTCTTCATAGAACTAGATAATTGTATTAACAAGTTACGCATGTATAAAATGAGGCGTAGTAAATTTTTAGTTATTAGACCGATATTACTTATGAGTAAATGGCGGAATATATGCAAATATTTGCATATTTTGCATATTTTAACAAATTTCATAAAAAATTGCATATTTCGGCAAAAATAAAATTTGTGTGCATATTTTTATGTTTTTCGTTTTATCAAAAGATTAAGTGCGACCCTTGCAGATAATTTAAATAATTTAAAAGTGGGTAGGTTTTGTCGGCTCACCCGTTTTATTATTATATGGTTTATTGCCGGCATTTATTGGGTGTTTAGGAATTTCCAAGTAATCAGCTTGCAGAGAATGGAGAGCAGATGTGGTCTATTCTTTTGTATTTATATTGTATAGTTTAGTTTGTCGATAGATTCCAGTGTGAAAAGAGTGATTTCGAAAATATTTTATTTCAAACGCCTAAAATGCGGAAAGTCGCTTCGTGGATTAAAAATTTTCCTGAGTTGGAGTTTAGTGGGGATAAAGTGTTTTGCAAAGTTTGTGCCAAAATCATTGTTTGTGAAAAGAAGTTCCAAATTGATCAACACTTGAAAACAACTATGCATAAAGCTAAGTTGCAGAAAAATAAATCTGTGCCTGTTCAGCAGTGTGTGCAAACCGCATTTCAAAATGTCAAACCAAAGAGTGAAAAGGAGGTGTTTCATCAAGACTTATGCAAAGCTTTAGTCGCAGCAAATATACTTTTGAAGAAACTGCAAAATACACAATTCAGAGATTTTTTGCAAAAATATTGTAATCAAAACATCCCTGACGAATCTACACTTAGAAAGAAGAATGTGCAAACAGTATACGAAACCGTAATGGGAGAAATTAAAGTTTCACTGGGCGATGAACATTTTTATATTATTGTTGATGAAAGCACAGACTCATGTGGTCGATATATCGCACATCTTATTATTGGAGGGCTTCAAGAAAATGAGCCAGGGAAACCATATTAAATATCTTCTAAACAGTTAGACAAAACAAATAATATGACCGTAACTCGATTTATTCAGCAGTCTCTATCAATTTTTTTTTTACCAAAACCAGTTCCAGTAGAGAAGTTTTTAGTGTTTTTGTCTGACGCAGCGCCGTATATGGTTAAAGTAGGCCAAAACTTAAAAATATTTTATCCCAATATGGTACATGTCACTTGTCTTTTACACGGGATAAACAGAGTTGCAGAAACTATTAGAACAGCATATCCCTTGGTGAACAAATTAATTTCAAATGTAAAGAAAGTGTTTTTGAAAGCACCTCTAAGAGTGCAGATCTATAGAGAGAAATTGCCAGGAGTTAGTTTACCTCCAGAGCCCGTAATTACTCGATGTGGAACATGGATTAAGGCCGCGATATTCTACGCAGACCATTTTGAAGCCATTAAAGACATAGTTTTAAATTTAGAAGACAATTCGCAGTGTGTAGTGCAAAGTCAAGCATTATTCAAAAATGTAAATTTAGCTAAGGAACTTGTTTTTATTAAGGTTAATTTTAGTTTTGTACCAGATATAATAACTTCGTTAGAAAGTAGGAATATAAGTTTAAGAGAATCAATTAATATTGTTGAAACTTTTTCCGACAAATGCAAAAAAGTTCCCGGTGATGTAGGAAATCAAGTAAGAAGGAAACTCGAAGTTATTGTGGGAAAGAATGAAGGCTTTAAGTATTTAATGGAAGTCAAAAATATTTTTGATGGTAAACCATCCAACGAAGTAATACCTTGACCTTATAACTTACTACCCAAATTAAAATATTGCCAGATCACATCGGTAGATGTTGAAAGAACTTTTTCTTTGTACAAACATATTTTTACAGACAGAAGGCAAACATTTTTATTGGAAAATTTTGAAAAATATATCGTTATAAATGCATTTTATACTATTTCAGGTTGAAAATTTTACCTATTATGTTTTTCTTTTAATTTTACTTAAAATAAATAATTTTTGTAAGAGTCGGCGTTTCTTTATTTCCATTTTTCCATGTTATATTCAAGGCATATAATTGCATATTTTGACAAATAAATGCATATTGTTGCATATTTCAGAGAAAAACGATGCATATATATGCGCATATTTTAACTGAATTGACGTGCATATATTCCGCCCTTTACTTATGAGACACCCTCTGTATAACCATATTATAGTTATTTATTGTTTAAGTCTTTTAAGTAGCATTTTATCCACGCAAGAATGTTTAAACGCGAAACGGAGTTCGAGAGTTTAATATTCTTAAGTGGATAAAAGGCAATGGTAAAAATACAAGAAAGTAATTGTGTTCCTGTGGCTGTTTTTGAAGAAGCTCAAAAAGCAATTTTCCATTTATTGCCAGCGAAATCCAGGGAACATTACGAAGAAGTGTTCGCCGAATTTAACGACTGTAGGGAAAAAGGAGAGTAATGACAATAAATGAAGAAGTCATGCTATTGTATTTTTTAAATTTGAAGAAAAAATATGCAATTTCATCTATGTGGTCAAAGTATTCGATGTTGAAGGCTACTATAAAGGTCTGCAAAAATATAGATATTGGAAAATACAGGGTGTTAAAAAGAGAGTGTAAAATATTTAAGGACGTAATAGTATGAACCAAAATAAGCAGAAGTCTCAATAAACATGGGTCCGCAAAGTAACGGTTGCGGAGATATGGATGTTTTATGTTTTTAGCCCCTTTTTTTATTTTGCAAAAACGTTGTGTATTTTCTTATAATAGCTGGTTGATGTTTAGTGAAATAAACAGTACGTATTTGACAGTTGTTCTCAGTGCACAAGTTTTCTTTCGCTATGGCTGGTTACTCTAACGCAGAATTAACAGACATGCAT